CCTTAAACCATTTTTAAGTATCCAATTTAGCTATTTCTGTTTTCAGCAAAATGACTTACTGAAGTACTATGTGGTTTGCCTTAAATGATTTTCTGCACTGTCATATTACTTAGAATTGCCCATGTTTGTTTCTCTTTTTCATAGTCTTTGTTTTTCCTTTTTTTAACTTTTAATTTTGTCTTCAGCCTGCTTTTAATTTCACTTTTTTTTTTCCTTACTAAAAGACCCTAATTTTTCTTCTCAGGTTCATATTTTTTTTAGTTTTCTTATAGTACATCCTTAGGTAGGTTTTTGACTTGTTTGCTTTTGTTGTGGAGTTTTTGAGGCAGCTTCTCACCATGTAGCCCAGTCGTGTGAAACGAACTCCTTCTGGGATTATAGGTGTATGCTGCCACATCCACCTACTTTTGAAATTGATTCAGAATTTCATGGATAGTACTGCAGTCTTCATTCTCATGCTGGTTCTTGTTGTTTTGTTAAACTTAGATTCTCTGGGAAATCAGTGGCATTTTTTCTTTATTCTTGGAGTTCACAAATTTCAACTAGGATATTTTTAGACTTACTGTTCCCACATAGTTCTTGGTTAGATCCCTTTTGAATCTGATTGTATTTTTCTGCTTCTGCAAGTTTTCTTCCAGTTCTTTTTCTTCACTTTATAAAAAAAATTAGTTTACGGCCAGGCGTGCTGGCACACACCTTTAGTCCCAGCACTCGGCAGAGGCAGTTGGATCTCTGTGAGTTCAAGGCCAGCCTGGTCTACATAGTGAGTTCCAGGACAGCTGGGGCTACAGGGAGACTCTGCCTCAAAAAGACAAAAAAAAAATAGTTATTATTTTTATGTGTATGGGTATAGTGCCTGCATGTATGTAATTCCACCTGTGTTGTTCAGTGCCCATGGAGGTCAGAAGGTGTCAGATCCCCTGGAACTGGAGCGACAAATGGTTGTTGGCCACCATGTGGGTGCTGGGAACTGAACCTAGGTCCTCTGTAAGAACAGCCAGTGCTCTTAACCACTGAGTCATCTTTCTAGCCCCCCCCTTCAATTTTTTCCGTTCCCTCTAACTTAGATGGTCTCTTTTAGAAACTATAATGTATACCTGTCACCATTACCTTTGCTTCTTTCTTAACTTAGCTTATTTACCCATAGCTGATCAATCTGCATGTGTGCGTACAGTTTTTATTAATTATATTTCTTGGTCATTGAATAATTTCTTACTCTGTGTGTGTGTGTGTATACAGTCTTTATTATTATATTTCCTGGTCATTGAATAATTTCTTACAGTATTAGAAGTGTGTGTGTAGTCTTTATTATTAATTATATTTCTTGGTCATTGAATAATTTCTTGTGGTTTGTTAGCAGTCAGCTCCAGGACATTGTTCATACTAGGCAAGCACTCTAGCATTGAGACATATTCCCAGTCCTATTAGTTTTTAAAGAGGATATAAATTGTTCTTGCATATAATAGCTTTGTGATATAATCATAGTCTGGTGTCTTAATAAAATAACAATTATCTCCTTGTAGCCCCATCTGGCCTGGAATTCACAGAGATCCACCTGCCTCTGCCTCCCAAGTGCTGGGCCTATAGTGAGCGCCATCACACCAGTAAGAAAATTTGACTCCGTAACCCAGCATCCATCAATTGATAATAGAGTCTAAGCTAGGGCTGGGGCTTCCTCCTAAAGTGAGTCAGTTTAATATTATATCTGTTTAGCAGAATGCAGTAGTAGGCTCTCCTCAATGGCCAGTGATTTGTCTAAGCACAGGTTCTTACCTTGAAAACATTGTGTCAGGTATGGACTCCCTGTTGTGTTTCCAGCCTTAAAGCCAATTAGAAGGTTACTCCCATAACTAACAAATATAAAGTCTTTAAAGTAGAATCTCAAATGTCATTGACAGCTGTTGGTCTCAAGTAGTTGTCATATCTTTGCCATTTCACTGCCATTTATGGTAAATATGAGTTGTTATCATCTTGAAGTGAAAACCTTCTGGGTTCTTTTATACTAGATACCACCATATGTATGTAAGTGGATTTTTTTTTGATGGTTTATAGACATTGCGTTTATTTACCTTTTGCTCAACTTTTTAAATCTTTTATAGTCATTGTCTTGAAGATTTTTTAATTTCTGGTAGTCATTGTCTTAAGTGCATGTTTCTAAATACTACTCTATTTGGTGGTCAGATTAATCTTTATCCTGAGTGCATTTTAATACTGTGTTAATTTAAAATTACCAGATATCTTTTTGCAAAACACTTTTCCCCATTCATTAGTTGCATTAACATTTGCTTTTTCTCAGAAAACTTTCACCTTAAATATGTTTCCTTCTTACTCAGACAAAAAAGTTACTTATTCAGATATATTAATTTTCACAGAAATTAATGGTTTATTTACATAGTGGTACATATGCTTAATGGAATACTGTGCAGCCATTCCAAAAGAATGGCTTATTACACTTGAAAACAAAGTAAATTTATAGCAGTATAACCTCATTTATATAAAGGTATGCTAGTAAAACATTTTAAACGATGATTTTTTTCTTTTTCTTATTTTTTTGGTCTTTTTGAGACAGGGTCTCCCTGTAGCTCCAGCTGTCCTGGAACTCACTATGTAGACCAGGCTGGCCTTGAACTCACAGAGATCTACCTGCCTCTGCCTCTGCCTCAAAAGTGCTGGGATTAAAGGCGTGCAGCACCACGCCCAGCTAAACGGTGATTCTTTACAGCAGTTAATCTCTACTGGAATAATATTCAAATTTTTCATTAATATATACATGTTTTTTGCTTTTCATTAATACCTGCAAAGAGTCTCACTTTTCCATGTTTGTCTCATCTGTCTTAGCTACTGAAGTGGTGACTGTGTTTGTATTTCAAGAGCCGTCACTGCTCTCCTCACTCCAGGACAATGGGTTGACAGATGTCATGCTGCACGCACTTCTCATCAAAGATGTAAGTTCTTCCAACTGCTCTGTAAAGAGTACTCAGTGAATACGCCTTCCCTGAGGCATACTTGCATGTATTTGAAAAGCAGTCTTAATTCATAGAATTCCTACCTCTTTTGTATGTATTGTTGAATCCAGTTGGGACTTGGTTGTCAAAAATCTATCCCTTCAGTATGATACCTCCAGCCACATTTTTTCCTACATCTGTATATTCTTTAGATGCAGTCATGCCCACTTTGTCTTTTCTCTAGGTTCCTGCTACTCGGGAAGTCCTTGGTTCACTCCCAAATGTATTTAGTGCACTCTGCTTGAATGCCAGAGGTCTTCAGTCTTTTGTGCAGTGTCAACCATTTGAACGGCTCTTCAAAGTTCTTCTGTCTCCAGATTACCTCCCAGCCATGAGGAGGAGGAGGAGCTCTGATCCCCTTGGTGAGTTGCTAATACTAATTTTATAATCGAAAATTGGTTTGTTCTGGCAAGGAAAGTTTTCCTTGACTGCACATCGTTTCTCTGGCTAGGTATGCTCAGCTTAACTGGAATTATCACCATACATTCTATTATTACAGGTAGGAAAGGAATACTTCATCCTTAGCTTCTCTCCTCATAATGTTTTCATGCTTCTGAATAGTTCACTGTACTGCTATTGGTAAGAAACAAGTATAGGGTGCAACACTGGATTTCCAGGTCCACCATCTAGTCCGCAACAATGAGAAATGTGGAGTCTGATGTCATGAACTGATGTTCTGATGCCTAAGTCTCTAAAATAGTCACAGATAGATTTTCTCCTCAGTAGGTTTGAGAATAGATCAATTAGGAGCAAGAAAATAAATTTTCAGAAAGATTATAGTTTGCAAAAGAGTACTGTCTTACTTGGGAGACTAAGGCAAGAAAATCATTTGAGCCCAGATGTTTGAAGCCAGCCTAGGCAATATGATGAGAAACCCTATCATAAATAAATGTACTTTTGGCCTTTGCCCAACAATTTAGCATGTATCATTGTAGTAGTCACTGTCATCTTAACTTAGCTGGAGTCATTTATACTTCGTTTCTACTCTTCTCTCATTGTATAAGACTAGCTCAGACCTCAACAATGGAAACTGCCAGGGTAGAGGGCAGTACACACAGTATAAAATATTTACCAGACTGATTTCATTCCTCCTCCCCCAATAAGTCACAGGCTCTATAATTTTTTCATTCTAACTGTTCATTTTTGCTTTAAGGGGATACTGCGTCCAACCTGGGGAGTGCTGTTGATGAGCTCATGAGACATCAGCCCACCCTCAAAACGGATGCAACAACTGCCATCATCAAGGTAGGGATGGATCGTGGATAGAACTTTGATCTTGAGAAAGCAGTAAATGGAAAGTTTTTTTAAAAAGTTTTGTCCTACTGGTAGTCATTTGAATTCTTAAAGGAAAAGTATTGTGTCTACCTCATTTTCTAGACCATGCTCTTGGGCTGGTGTTTTGCAAAAACAAAAGGTAAAACCATTAAAGTCTTATCAGAAAGGTTTTTTTTGTTTGTTTGTTTTTGAGACAGGGTCTCCCTGTAATCCCAGCTGTCCTGGAACTCACTATGTAGGCCAGGCTGGCCTTCAACTCACAGAGATTCACCTGCCTCTGCCTCCAAAGTGCTGGGACTACAGGCGTGTGTTATCACGCCAGGCTATCAGAAAGAAGTTTATGTTAATTCCTGCGTTTTTCAGATCAAAAATCTTCTGAATTAAAAAAGTTTCTTCAGGGTAAGAAAGGTTTAATATAAACCTCTGTGTATTGCTTTCTTATGATACTAAAAGTAGGCAAGGCCTATCTTCTGTTTGTAAGAGCCTATTTCGCTTTCCTAGCCAGTTTTTCTTGATTCTTTCCCTTCATATTGCTTGCCCTGCCAGTTGCCTTTTAAGATTGGTGAACTTAGTACGTGAATTGCTGGTGCTTAGTGGATTAACACAAGGATGTGATCCTGAAAATTTTAACTTTCATAGAATTTCTTCTGCTCCATTGTTTGTAAAATGGAGACCGTACCTTCCAGCAGTGATGTATATATTAATAAGTATATTCCTTTGACAAATACATAGCACATAGAAAATCTTCACAAAATGCTAGTCATATTCTATGTTCCTTAAAATTGCAAATAAGTCATTTGTTCTTTTTGCCTTTTAGTTACTTGAAGAAATCTGTAATCTTGGAAGAGACCCAAAATACATTTGTCAGAAGCCGTCTATCCAGAAAGCAGATGGTACTGCCAGTGCTCCTCCCCCAAGGTCTAATCATGCTGCAGAAGAAGCCTCTAGTGAAGATGAGGAAGAAGAAGAAGTACAGGCCATGCAGAGCTTTAATTCTGCCCAGCAGAATGAAACTGAGCCTAGTCAGCAGTAAGTGTTCAAACAGCAAATTCTCCAGCCTTATGATGTTACTTAACTGTGTTAGTATCAGTAGTGCTAGGAATGGAATCTAGGGCCTTCTTCATTTTTAGCAACTCCACTGCCACTGAGCTATACACCCCAGCCAGCCCTCCAATAGTGTTGCTTTCATTTACAAAAATGAGATCATTTTAAAGTTCTTTCTGTCGTTTATATGGGTTTTTCTTTCTTAGATCCTCTGCAGTATCACTTGTACTTTGTTATGTATTTAATTGCCTCAAGAAGGCATCCAATTTTCTTAAATTTGTAATTCATGATATTGAATCAGAATTCAGTGTACAAAGTTGATGTACTTTTTCCCCTTGGTGATTTTGTATACCATATTACTTGACAGTTTGATTTGTGCACATATGAAACACATTATTTCATGTCAGATATGATTCCTATCTTTAGACAGTCATGTATGCATAAGAAATGTTCTTTGATTTCTTATTTCTATTTTTCCCCCTTAAACTACATAATATATTTATTTATTTATTTATTTATGTAACGTACTTCAAGTTATTTCTGGAAAAATGTGTTAAAAATTACCTCTCTTTGGAATAATAAAAAAAAATGTAATGATAATAAATGTACTTTGCAGTCAGCTGTGGGAGGCAGAGGCGGGCAGATCTCTGTGTCATCGAGGCCAGCCTCATCTATATAGCAAGTTCCAGACCAGCTGGGGCTACAAAGATACCCAGTTTCAGAAATTTAAAAAGAGAAAAGGAAATGTTCTTTGGATATATAGATAAGTACTTCTGAGAAAAGCATGGATATTTTAAGGTTTGTGTATGTATGGTTTTGATCCGGTACTAAACTAGGGCACTGGACCTAGGAAAGGATTCTGGCAGAAGTAGAGAACCAGGGGCAGCAGAAGTAAAGCCCTATTTATAGGAACTCTAGATAGCAATGAGTTTACTGGTGTCAGTAATTTTTGAGGGGTAGGCATTAACTAATTGCTTACTGTTTTTGTTTTTTGAGCCAAGTATCTTAACAGTCTGAGAAACCAAACCTACTTTTCTTTTAATAGTGTCTCCTGTTTACTTTAAAACCTTTTTTAAAGACGGTATGACTTTTTCCCACAGGAATACAAGCTTCAGAGTCTCCTTTGCCCCAATCTTAATTATCCTTTGATTATGAGTTCCTTTTCCTGTCTACAATTGAAAAAAGATTTGTTAAATGTGGTTAGAGTTTGATGGTGATTTTAAGTCAAGCTGTGTGTTTCCATTTGCATATATATAACTTCTTTACCTGGATGTCTTTTAATTATCTTAAATCTGATATGCCCAGAATTCAAATAATTCTTCACCCTCCCTTTGATTCTTGGGATGTGATTTATCACTGTTATACCCACAATTGTTCCCCATTCCAAATCATCTTCCAAATGAGAAAGCAGTCTTCTCTAATGGTTTTTTTTTTTTTAATGCTGATACTTTTGTCTACTAATCCATAAACTTTCCCAGGACTGACATTCCCAGGAATTTAACAGTGAATTCCTTTTTTATTATTATTCATAATAAAGAGCTTTAGATTAAGGATTCCTATAAGTTTTTAATGCCCAGAGAACTGGGCCTAATGTCACATTGAGTGATAATGAAATTAAAGTAGATCTAGACCTGTAGTATTAATAATTATAGTGGTATTCAGATGGGGTGTCTAAGTCTACAGGATTCCAGTAGTAATGGTACTATAGTAATGGCAGTTTTTTTTTTAAACTCTGCACAGATGAGTGTTTATCCCTACCTACTTTCCACAGTGTAGCCAAGATTCTTCTAACCTTGACACATACTTTCTCACTTCTGCCATCTTGAAGAGCTAAATTGAGTCAGTAAGTAAATTATTAGGACTAGAAGAAAGACCAAGAAACTGACTAAACTCAAACTTCATTTTGAAATTGGTCCTCTTAATCATCTTATCCAAACAGGCATGTTGAAAGTTTTGTATTTTCCATACAGGAAAAAGGCCTGAAAAAAAATGGAATGTGTCACCCTTCCCCTAAAGTTTTATCTATCCCCTTTCCCCAATTCAAAAATTCCTTGGTAGACCTAGGAATTCCAGTGCCATACCAAGGTTAATTTTTTTTCCACTGTTTTTATTCAAATATTTCTATACAGTAAACTGCACAGATTTCTAATTTTGTATTTCTGTTTTCTGTAGCCACTGATCTTAGTTCTATCATCATGTATAGAATGATCATTAAATACATCTGTTGTATATACTTGTCTTGTATTTGACTTTTTTACTCATTGTGTTTTGGGGATTCATCCTTATTAACATCTTCTTAGGGTATCAATAAGCCCCATAAATTGAACTGGTCCAGACTAATAAAAAAAAAATAGTCTAGTCTATCCATTGGAGGACCTACTTTTCCAGTCTCACTGGTCAATTACCTGGTGATAGAACCACTCCCAGGAAGGCAAGTTCACCTTAAGTTATGCTAAATAGATGATGGGTGGAATACCTGGTGTGTTAATAAGGTAGTGAATATTTCCTGTCTGGAACTAGCTCAGATCCCCTCAGAACTTCCAGACCAGCCACAGCCATGTAGGTCTCCATAAGTCTGTCCTTTCTCCTTTTCTTCTTCATGGATTTCTTTCTAAACATGCTTTGTTTAAGGCTTTGGGCTGCCCCTAGCATCTTGTGTTTCTTCACTTTTTCTCTAAAGCTTCCTTCTCCCAGCCATGTGGCTGCAAGTCACAGTGTCTGACCTCCATGCAGGCTCTTCTTCCCACTGCTCGCCTGCCCTGAGGATTTTTCTTTAAGATTCTAATAAAGTCGTAAAAGCTTCTGTTTGGGTCTATCTTTAAATTCTTTAATGAATGAGACCAAGAACCCCTCTAGGGGGACACTCTTTCTCCCCATTTCAATCTCAGTAGTCATTATTTAGTATTGAGTGTAGTCTGTTGTATAAGTATGGCAGTGTTTATCCATTCTTCCTGCTGATGAACATGTTTCCTGTTTTTCTTACTTTGTTTTTCAGGCTGATAGTAATTTTTCTTATTTTTAAAAAATGATAGTTTATGTATGTTTATGAAATATATAGTTTTGTGACAGATCTAGAAGACAGTGCTTAGGCACTGTAGTATACCCAAAATACTTGGGTTGCTCGTCTACATTCAGAAACATTTCCTGTTAGTTCTTTTTATTTGAGACCAAGGTCTTAGTATGTAGCTCAGGCTAACCTGGAAGTCACTGTTTATCAGCTTCCAATGTACTGGGGATTGTAGATACGTATTAGTACATTTTTATCTTTTGGTCTTCTACCTTTTACATAGTTTGATGTTATAAAAAATCTAGTATTGCTGGGGATGAATATACTTAACAGTAAGTAATCGGGGTTTGTAGTTGCTGTCAGTGGTTCATTTTGTGATCGATTCTGTTCAGTGTACCTGAGTGTTTGAAATTGATGCAGGTTTGTGAAAAGGAACTGATGAAGAGCTTTATTAGGATATGGGTCTCTGTAGTGGGAAATCAGGCCTTTAGATCAGATGAGGAGCTTCATTAGGAGATATAGACAAACAAAGAGGGTTTTCTGACTCTTACTGGTTTTTAGGGGTAGCAGGAAATTCCATACCACATGACAGGATGCTTCCTTTCAGGAGCCAACGCTAGGAGGGACCATAGTTCAAAGTTGCCTTTATCCTGGGCAGCAGGGAAGAGGTGTGACCCATTTCCCACCAAGGACTGTCTGCTTTTAATCTCATCAAGTATTTATCAGTTCTTTGTTCTAAGTGACAGGTTGGAGTGGGAGTTGTGGCTTGATTTCTCCCAGACTGTTACTGCATCTAGTCACAGTTAAAAGTGGCAGGACAATATTCTGAGTAACTTGAAAGAAATGCATTATATTAGTTTACATGGTCTTTTCAATTCAGTAGCAATTGTTTGTGTTTTATACTTAATAAATGGAAAGAAGCATTTGTTGCCTGAAAAGTGACCCACTGAACTGGCTCCTTTTCAGTCTCTTCAAGACTGATTTGTAAAACTAAAAGGTCAGCAAAGTAAAATTGGTAAAAGGGAAAAAGGCAGAAAGTTTAAATTTGACAGTTGTGGTAAATTGCTTCATTCACCATGAGAATATAGTTTTGTTCAGAGATGCTGTGACTTAACCCTTTCAAATAAGGTTAAGATTGGGGTGGCATTTTTAGTTATAGAGGTGGATATTTGAGTTCTTTCCAAGGAGGTGAGGCTGAGCTAGAGAGATTGCTTAGTATATAAGAACGCATGTTGCTCTTACAGAAGACTAGAGTTCGGTTCCCAGAAGCTATATCGGGTGGCTCATAGCCACCTATACTCCAGGGCACCTTGCCTCTTGCCTCTGGGCACCCCTTATTCACTTGCCTAGACATTTATATAATTAAGAATAAAATCTTAAAAAGAGAGTTCTTTTCCAAGCTTTGTGTTCTCCTCCCCCCATTTGTGAGTTGATTCTCTCTCTCCTGTGGGTTCTGGGGCTTTAAATTCTGTTTTTAAGAGTTCAAAGCGTTGCCAGGCTTTACCTACAAAGCCATCTCACTTTAGAAAATTTTTCATTGAGAATATTACAACATCCTATACCTAGCCCTGGACATTTCATTATTAAAGCCATCATAATACCTTTCCATTTTATTTTTCCACTTTTGCATTTTACTACCAAATGCCTGGCAGATCTTTATTCACATTTTGTCTTGCTCAGAGGTTAAGAGCTCTTAACACCTTGCCTTTCTTCTCACTACCTGTCATTTCTCTCTCCATTTCTACTTAAGTTTTCTTCTTTCTCAGGGTTTATCTTTGAGGCATATTTTGTTTTATATCCATATACTATGTGATTCTTCTACAATTTTTTTCTAAAAGCATTTTTGAAGTTAGGACACTACAGTCTTCTCATTTGCTTTGCAGTGTTGAAACATTGAAAATGCATATTTCAAGCTGGGCGTGGTGGTGCACGGCCTTTAGTCCCAGCACTCGGGAGGCAGAGGCAGGTGGATCTCTGTGAGTTCAGGTCAGCTGGGACTACAGGGAGACCCTGTCTCAAAAAGACAGAAAAAAAAAGAAAGAAAATGCATATTTCAGGAACTATCAAACTACAGATATGAGTTATTAGGGAAGGAGGACTAAGTGTTCACTTTCATCTTTGACCAACTCTGACTGTTCATGGGGATTCATCAGTCTTAAACTTTTTTCCACAAAACTAAAAATCTTACTTTCTAAACTCTAAGCCTAACACAAGAATATGTTAGTATATTTATTTGCTCCTTTGCCTAGCCCCTTCCCTTAAGCAAATGTTCATATTTTAAATATTTTCATGTGGGTTAATTTCTCTAGATAGAATATTGTGTAAGATGTATACAAATGCTGACTTTTTAAAGGTGTGGTTTTTCACTTTGTACTCTTTTTTTGCTCCCTGTGTTATATGAGACTAAAGGCTGAGTCTAAATTTAGGAACAAAAAAAAAGAGTAGAATTTTGCAGTGTCCCTTTCCTCACTTTGTTGTCTTGAACTGGTGTGGTGAATTTCTGTGTGACTCACTCTTTTCTCTTTAACAGGGTTGTTGGTACAGAGGAACGTATCCCTATTCCCCTCATGGATTACATCCTTAATGTGGTAAGATTCATTGTGAAGTAAAATGAGTAAAGCTGTATGCTTTTCAGGGAAATATGTAGGAAGGATTGTCAGCATTCAGTAATTTCCACATTTATTTTCACTGTTATTATTGCACATTGGGGTTCAAACAGGATTTGTTATGTCAAACTATTAATATGTTTTCTGACTCTGTCCAGCATTTTTTTTCTAATTTAATTCTCTTTTAGTTAGATAGATAGATAGGTAGGTAGGTAGGTAGGTAGGTAGGTAGGTAGGTAGGCAGGCAGGCAGGCAGGCAGGCAGGCAGGCAGGCAGGCAGGCAGGCATACAGACAGACAGACAGATTTTGTTTTTGTTTTTTAGACAGGGTCGCTGGCCGCGGGGTCCTGCCTTGCCATCCACTTCCTGCCTAATTCTCTTTTTGAAAAGAAAAAATACATGGACATTTTAATTTCCTGTCTCACAGGAAAATGTGAAGAATTTAATTTTCTCAGAATGACTTACTAATAAGGGAAAGCTCACTTAACATTTGTTCTATACCAGTAAGCACTTCCATGACTTCCAGAGGTGATTTCTCTTATGGCTACTTGTTTCTCAAAGCACTTTAGTTTATTACTCTTTAAAATGTTTCGTTTAGTCCAAATCACTATATGGAAATTGATGTTTTGTTTACATTATAAGCACTATTTAGGGGAAAGGATCCATGGTGATGGCCTCCAGAACAGTCACACATTACATGAAAAGAATTAAAAAATTAGACCAGTTTCTGCCACTAATTCATAGTGTGACTCTGAGCAAGTCTTAACTTCTCTTTGCTTACAAATTATCTGATCCTGGTGTGGTTGAAAAGATAGATTTGGAAGAAGTTCTAATTTTATTTTCTGGATATTTTAGGTGTGTACCTGATCTACCTCTGTTTACCCGAAGTATTGATTTTATAGGAAAATAGTGATTTCATGACTATAAGGCTGTCCCTGTCCTTACACAGAACTGGCCTTTTAGTTCCAGGTGTTGGGCTCTAACTTTAAAAAAATGTTCACTACCTAGATGAAATTTGTGGAATCTATTCTGAGCAACAATACAACAGATGACCACTGCCAAGAATTTGTGAATCAGAAAGGACTCTTGCCTTTGGTTACCATTTTGGGTCTTCCCAATCTGCCCATTGACTTTCCCACATCTGCTGCCTGTCAGGCTGTTGCAGGCGTCTGCAAGTCCATATTGGTAAGAAGCACCTAGACAAATTTTTTTAGAAATCAGTTTTGTGATACATCTGTATGTGTTTGTGTGTTCTCCCTTACATATAGGTAAAAGTTGATAAATTTGTGTTCTGTTCCACAAGTAAATTTTTGTGACTATCTATATTATGCCATATTAGTTCTCATAAAAGTCAAAGTATCTTTTGTTTCTGAGTTTATGTAATTCTAAAGCTATTTGAGTTCATAGAAAGTTTCTCTCCAAAAAAGCTTTCTTAATCTTTATTAGTCATTGTAGCTGTGATCTATAGTATTGCTCAAATTTTGCCAAAAAACAGAGCTCCTTTGTCTCTAATATTTTTGCTCTTGCAAACTACTTGTTCTCCCTTCTGTTAACCTTGGCAACTAGCATTCCACTTTCTCTTAACTTGAGGTACTCTAGGTCCTTTATTTAAATGAGATTGTATAGTATTTGAGATTGTTGTGGCGACTTCAAGATTTATGCGTTTTGTCACTTGTCACTTTTCTTTTTAAAGCTAAATGATAGTTTTGCTATATGTCCATTATCACATTTATATATTTGTTATTTGACATTCCGTTTTCTCCCAACTTTTGGCTATAGTGAATATTGCTGTGACTTGAATGAAATAGCTGAATTAAATAATAATTCTATGTTCAATTTTTCACAAAACCTCCAAACTACTTGTCCACAGAAGCATTCCTACCTACAGTGTACATTAGGATTCTAATTTCTCTGCCTCCATACCTCCATACCAGCTCTTATTTTCTACTTTTTTATAATAGCCTTTTTAGTGAATATAAAGTAGTATTTCATTTTCATTTTGACTTACCTTACCCAAATAATTGGTGGTGTGCTTGAGTCACTGCCCATGTGTGTATCTTTTCAGAAACATTTATTCATGTCCTTTTAGTTTTTTGAGTTAGGGTTTTTTTGCTGATTGTAAAAGATCTCTGTGCTATCATAAGAGAATAAGTAAAACTATTGTAGATGTGTTCTACAAGGAGGGATTTGTTTCAACCCATAGGAAGACAAATAATTTTCTAGCATTGCATAGCAAATGATAATACACAGACTTAAAGAGCAATGTAATCTTTGTCTGTTAAAATAATTTGCTTCTTAATGCATCCCCCTTGTTTTGGTAAGAAAACGGCATTGTAGCTGTCAAAGTACTTTTTGACCCAAAAATATAGTTCATATATTAAAAGATTGGCTAGTTATAATCCTTGTTTCTAGTCACTCTGTACCATTTGTACTGCCAAATATGAATACAGCTATTTGAACAAATTAACATTGTGTCCTTTGGGATTTGAGGTTCTCATATGCCATCTCAGTCATCTTTCTCAGCAATGTTTTCTTGTACTTTATGTTTGGGGGGGCGGTGTTTGTTTGAGACAGGCTCTCCCTGTAGCCCCAGCTGGCCTGGAACTTGCTATGTAGACCAGGCTGGGAACTCAGATCTGCCTGCCTCTGCCTCTCAAGGGCTGGGATTAAAGGTATGCACCACCGCGCCCAGTTTACTTTAATAAATTGTTGGTGTATTCTTTGGGGGGAAAGGGGAAAAACAGCATTATAATGGTGATTCACTTCCAATACTTGGAACCTTACTTAGATGTGATGCATATATATTTTATCTTATACCAATACATTCATTATTATTCTCATTTCAGACACTTTCACATGAACCCAAAGTCCTTCAAGAAGGTCTCCTTCAGTTGGACTCCATCCTTTCCTCCTTGGAGCCTTTGCACCGGCCCATTGAATCCCCTGGAGGCTCAGTGTTACTTCGAGAATTGGCATGTGCAGGCAATGTTGCTGATGCTACCCTCTCAGCTCAGGCCACACCTCTGTTGCATGCCCTCACTGCTGCCCATGCCTACATAATGATGTTTGTTCATACTTGCAGAGTTGGACAGGTAAGAATAATTGACAGTATCTCTGGTGGGTGATCAGGTTTATGCTTCCTTCAGGTGATACAATGTAATTTCACTCTTTTCATTTTTATTCTTATTAGCAGTTGTTTATGGCCATATAATTCGTCATATGAATGAGACCTTAACAATAAAGAGAGAGGTTATAAGTTACTATCTTGAGTTAATCTATAATATCTATAGAGGTTGACTGTAATGTTTTTAGCAGACAGACCTTAATTGGGTGTTACTACTTTTTTATTTTTTATTTTTTTTTGAGACAGGGCTCCCTGTAACACCAGCTATCCTAGCTCTCAACTATGTAGACCTGGCTGGCCTCCATCTCACAGAGAGTTGTCTGCCCCTGCCTCCCAAATGCTGGGAGTAAAGGCATGTGCCACCACACCTGGCTGGCTTCTTTTTAACAGAACAACTATGAAACTCATTTCCTTAAATTCATTTGTTTATTATTTTGTGTATGTTTGTTGTGGGGAGAGTATGTATACATGCTGCAGTGCATGTGTGGAGGTAAGAGAATAACTTTATGGAGTCAGTTCTCTTGTACTTTTATGTAGATTCCAAAAATCAAAACTAGGTTGCCAGGCTTGCAGAGCAAGTACCTTTACCTGCTGAGCCATCTCACAAGCCCATACTGCTATCTAATCTTCGTGCAAGTGCATGTAGACCTGATGGTGGAATGACAAATGGGGTATTTCACTACAAAACATTTAAATTAATACTTAGAGGGTTACAAAAATATGTTCTGAATGTCAAACACTTACAATCCGTGGTCTTTTTTGTGGTTCCATAAAGAAAACAGTTGTGAAGCCTGGAGAGCTGGATCCGTTGGTAAAGTATTTGCCATGCAAGCCTGAAAACCTGAGTTCAGTCCCCAGAAACTACATTAAAATGCTAGTCATGCTGACGTAGGCTTGTAATTTCAGCAGTGGGAAGACAGAGAACGGCAGGTCCCTGGGGCTTAATGGCTAGCCAGGAAGACCAAATCTGTATGTTCCAGGCCAAGAAGAGACACTATCTTAAAAAGGAAAGTTAATGGCACCTGAGGAAAAATACCCAAGGTTGTTCTTTGGCTTCCATAAGAAAGTAGTGTCTGTCTGTGTTCACCATTTTACTACCTTACAAAAACAAATAGTGTGGTACAGTAGCTCAACAGGTTTATTTTATGCTTTGGGGCAGGAGTACATTCTCTACCATTTCACTGTGGAGCCCTGGTATGCCTTGAACTCCTGATTCTCTTCTTCTTCCACCTCTTAAGTACTGGGATCAATAAGCATAGGGCACCATGCCAAGCAAAGACTAGTATCTTGTATCTTTCTAAAATAGCCAAAGGGGTGGGGTTTTTATATAATAGTTTATGGAGAATATCTCATTTGAAAATATTTCTCCTTTGTTTGCAGAGTGAAATTCGTTCCATATCCGTAAACCAATGGGGCTCTCAGTTGGGTTTGAGTGTTCTGAGTAAACTAAGCCAGTTATACTGTTCTCTGGTGTGGGAAAGCACTGTCCTCCTCTCTTTGTGTACCCCCAACAGGTAAGAGAGTAGTCATTTAATTAATATCTCTTAGATTTTCTGACAAAACTTCGTACAAATCCTAATAAATCTGCAAGATTGCTTTGTTTGGGGATGGAGGTTTGGTAAGAATTTAAAGACTTTTTTTGTCTTCCCACTTACTAAACTGACAGAATATAGCATCTTGTGTATGTTCAATTCGATATCCCATTGATGTGTCAATGTCTTATTTAATGCTGCCTGGGAGATTACAAATATTTTTATTGCATTTAGGATAACTTACCTTCTTTGGAAAGCATAATATTAGCCAATCAAGTCAGAGACCATTCATAAGAAGTAAACTATTATAGTGGTTTTCTTTACTATTTCTCTTGTAGCCTACCATCTGGGTGTGAATTTGGCCAGGCAGACATGCAGAAACTGGTTCCAAAGGATGAGAAGGCAGGTACGACCCAGGGCGGAAAAAGATCAGGTAACTCTAAGAAACTAAAATCTTAGTCATTACTTCCTGTGTTCTATCCCTTTGATTTCATAGGCTTATTATGAACATTTAGTTAACTCTTTGTCATCCGTAGTCCTCTTTTCACTGATTTTCAAATGTTTTATTAAATTTAGACTTTTGTCTTTGTCTATGAAAATCTATATTTCTGCCAGCAAAATCATGTACACACCATTTGATAAGAATTAGTGTTCTCCTTTTCTGTTCTCTAGTTTTTCCTATCATGTATGTATGTGGAAAATTCTATTTATTTTTAGTTATTAATATGACTACTTGAAAAGTTAAAATTTGGTACATGGCTCACATTATTTGTATTATACATTGCTACTTGAGGAATTTACTTTTGTTGTATTGCAGCAAAATCATGTAGTCCGAAATTACAATTCTCTGAGCCTGGTAGAACAAACCTGAAAGTAAGAAAAACAACTTTTCCATAGTTTTTAACTTGAATTCTACCTCAAGGAGTACATGAAAACTGATAAACTTCATAATGACAATTCTATGTATATGCGTATATCAGATAGGCTTAAAAGTGCACTCAAATTACTGAGAGGGAAACTTCTAAGGAGCTAATTTAAAGTAAGCAGATACAGCTTTTAACTATAATAGACTTCTGTGGCAGATATGGGGAGTGGGAAAGAATGAAGTATACACATGCCTCTAAGGTTAATTTTGGAGACAATGCACATCTTAAATTTCATCAAAATTATTTCAGATTTTAACTAGATTTTAACCAAATAAAATAATATATTATGAACTGAGGATAAAATTAAAATTTACTGTCCAAGAATTGCTTCTCCTCTTTATTCTCTCCTTTTTCCTGTCTCCATCTTCACATATATCCCTACCCTATTTCTGACAATTGATTTATCAAAGAAATAACAGTTAAGGTTGTTTGTCTATACCATTAAAGACAGAAATTAGTAACTTATATTCTAGAAGTTTTTGAAAAGTTAATCTTTGATCTAAGAATACATACATAGCAAGATAATCCCAGCATTTGGGAGCTAATGAGAATCAGGAGTTCAAGGTCATCTTTGGCTAACAGAATTTGAAGCAGTCCTGGGCTACATGAGTACCTGCCCCCAAAGCCAGGAGTGGACTGGAGAGGTGACTCTGGTTAAGAGCATCTGCTGTACAATTGTGAGGACCCAAGTTCATATCTGAGCACGTACATAAATGATAAGCCCATGTATATTCATAACCCCAACTCCAACAGGAGAATCACTGCAGCTGGCTGAACTGCAGGAGAAATGGCTAGCCCCAGGTTCAGGAATGGACACTGCCTCAAAGGAATAGGTAGAGAATGGTAGAGGAAGACACTTGGCACATATGCACATAAAAGCGTGTGTGTGTGTGTGTGTGATTTAATATTTCCTTTTTGTGTGTCTTTTTGAGGCAGGGTGTCCCTGTAGCCCCAAATGGCCTGGAACATACTATGTAGACCAGGCTGGCTGGATCTCTCTGCCTCTCAAGTTCTGAGATTAAAGGCATGCACCACCACACCCAGCCTTTAAGATTTCTTTTTAAAGAAGCACATACACAGACACACAAAAATTATGATACCCATTCATGTACAAACAAAATTCCTAAATACTTGCCAGTAAAATTCTCCAGTGTTATTATATAATGTCTAATTTGAGTTTAAATAAGGCATAAAATTCTTTATTATGATACACACTATAGTCAGTGTGTTGAGAATATTCATGTGCTTTCATTTGAAAATGTGGAACTCCAAACAAAGAACTTGCCTGTGTAGTGTTTTGGTTCTGTTTGGGGGGGTTATTTATTGGTTTGTTTTGTTGTTGGTTTTCTTCCCTAATTTAGGAAGTCATTAAAATTTTAAGTAGGGATAAGTACCAAAGATAACTCTTTCTTGGAACTCTTCGAAACAGATAACAGTTAAGTTCTGGTTCTGCATGATCTTTTTACACCTTTCCTACATCTGCAGATGGCGAACAGGATGGAACAGCTGGAAGCATGGATGCTTCTACCCAGGGTTTATTGGAAGGAATTGGGCTAGATGGTGACTCATTGGCTCCCATGGAGACAGATGAACCTACTTCTTCAGATTCTAAGGGCAAATCAAAAATCACGCCAGCCATGGCTGCGAGAATTAAGCAAATCAAGCCATTGTTGTCAGGTCAGTGATTCTCTACTTTGTACTCCCTTTTGTAGGTTTCAGAGCTGTAATAATCCTCAAACAAGTTTTGTGACTCACTTTCACATGTATTTTGTTACGTTCCTACTATGTTATATTCCCTATACTAGTTGCTTAAGGATATGCAAAGGAGAAAATTCTTTCCTTAGGCACTGCCTATCTCCTCTCTGTTTTTAAATTCCTTCCCTTGTGTTCATGCAAGTTTCACAAATAGTTTCTGTTCCTATGAGTCTAGTGAAATGTCTCACTAAGGAACTTCCTCATTGCTAAGTGTGTAGCATGATAGCTGACCCACTTTCTGCTTCTAGAAATAATACTTGCAATGGTATTTGTATGATTAAGCTCTCATAATTAACTGTGTAGTTAGATCACCAGACTCTTGCTGTCTTTGAACTGCCTTTGAACTGCTTCGCTATCTGTTCTTCTGAAAGCAATATGAGAAAGTAATTGTAAACCTATTTCAATGCATTTTCTTATTGATTTAAATTCTTTAGTTTTTTTAGAAAAAAAAAGTTTTTAATGTGTGTGAGTATTGTGCCTGCACATGTAAGTGCAACTATGTCACACAGTGCCTGTGGATGACAGAATAGGGTATCTGATCCCCTGGAACTGGAATTATAGACAGTCATAAACTGCCATGTGGGTACTGAATACTGAACAGAGCACTCAACTACTGAGCCATCTCCCCAACCCCTAAATTCATTAGGTTTTAAAATATTTTATTTATTATTTTTATTTTATGTTACGAATGTATTGCCCTGCATGTGTGTAAGTGCACCCATGTTATGCAATGCCCATGGAGGAAGGCATCAGATCCCCCTGGAACTGAAGTTATGGACAGCTGTTAGCTACCATGTGGGTGCTGGGAATCAAACCCGGTTCTTCTGCAAGAGCCGTCAGTGCTCTTAACCGCTGAGTCATCTCTCCAGCCCCAAAATTCATTAGGTTTTAAATCTCACCTCTCTGCAGGTCTCTTATGAATTTGAGGAATGCCAAGACTGCACAGTGAGAAGACCCTGTCTTTTTTTTTTTTCATTTGATTGTCAGACTCTGAGTGTGTCACAACCTCCAGCTAAGCAGTGTACAAATCTTTATAGCTGGAGATAGCACAGTGGGTAAGATAGCTTGTATATGAAGTATGAAAGCCTGAGCTCAAATCCTCAGCACACACATAAAAGATAGGCATGGTTTTACATGACTGTAACCCCACCATTGGGGGCAATAGACAGGCGAATCTCAGGAGCCCACTGGTGTCACCCAGCCTTCCTAACTGAAACCGTAGCTTCTGGTTCAGTGAGAGACCCTGTCTTAAGGGAATAAGGCAGGCACAGTGATAGACAAAAATACTTGATGTTCTCCTCTGGCCTCCAAATGTATATATGCATATGGATACATATATACAAATGCCACAAACCCAGTAATAGTCACTATAAAAGTATAAAAGTGCAGGCTGCAGAGGTGGCTTAGCGGTTAAGAGGACTTGCTGTTCTTCTAATTTCAGTTCTTAGCACCCATGTCAGGCAGTTGAAACTTCAGCTCCAGGGGACCCAGCACCTTTGGGCCTCTTCAGATACACATATACACACAAATAAAAAATAATGTTTAAATATCTATGTATGCGAAGAAAAGGACTGAGATGACTCAATGGGTAAAGTGCCTACTGTGTAAAGACACGTGTACCTTAGTTCAGATCGCCAACATCTACATGAAAAGCTAGGTATTTCAGTGAATGCCTGTAATCCCAGCTTTGGGATGCAGAGATGTTACGATCCTGGGGAATAATTGGCCAGCTGGTCTAGGTGAGATACGGTAAGAGACTCTCTTTCAACAAAGAAGGTAGTGAGTGGTAGAGGAAGACACATGACATCATCCTCTGGCTCCACATGCACATGTGCATTTCATATGTGCATGTGCATGCACACCAAAAATAGAATAATAGAGGAAGACATCCTGACATTGATCTCTGACCTTCACATGCATAACCATGGCTAAGCACATCTGCACACACATGTATATAATAGTATAGTACAGTACAATACAGTACAGATAATATAAACTACACAAGCACAAAACCCCCCCAAAAATGGTGGCAAAAATGTTAAAACAATATTTGGGCATATTTTTTCTTTATAAGCACTTCCTTTTACATATGTGTATGTTTTATATCTATGAGTCTTATGCCTGCATGTATGTAAGTGCACCCTTGTCGTGCAGTGCTCACAGAGAACAGAAAAGGCCACTGGGTTCCTTGGAACTGGAGTTACAGACAATTGTTAGCTGTCATGCGGGTGCTGGGATTCGAACCCGGGTCTTCTGCACGAACAGCCAATGTTCTTAACCACTGAGCCATCTCTCCAGCCCCTAATTGATTCTTTTTTGTTGGTTTGTTTGACAAATACTGAAAAGCATCTACAATAATGAGAATTTGAGGTGCTTTAAATTTCTCAGATTATTTAAGAGTCCACTTACAAAGCTTTTATGCTTTTCATGCCAACCTTTTTTCTTTTAATCAGATATTTTCTGGTCCATTTGATTAAACATTTTTGCTACTTTAAACTTATTTGTGGGCATTTTAAGAACCATTTATTTAGTAATCAGCATTTATTGACATTTTATTTCAAAGATAGTTTCAATTGATGCTTAATTTAACAGTATGAGTGCTTATCTTACTTGCCTTACACTTTTGTTGTATTACCAAATATCAGTGTACTTTTGTCTCCTGCCTTCAAAGAGCAAATTCATTCCTTACGGAACTTCCTTTTTTGATTATCCCATGGATTGACAAACCTAAGATTTTCTTAACTGTTTGTTTAAAGGAAGTTATTAGTCATAAAAATGTTGGTTCAGGGTCTGGAGAGATGGCTCAGCAGTTAAGATCACTGACTATTCTTGCAGAAGACCTGGTTCGAATCCCAGAGCACACATGGCAGCTTACAACTGTCTGTACCTCCAGTTCCAGGGGATTTGACAGCCTCTTTTGTTCTCCTCTGGCATTGTACAACACGGTACACTTACCTACATGCAGGCAATACACGCATACACATAAAAATAAGTGTTGGTCCAGCAAGATCGCCCAACTACTAAAGGCCCTTGCCGTAAATGCCCAGCGACCTGAATTCAGTCTCCAAAATCCATGTAAAGACAGAAGGCGCGAACCAACTCCACAAAGTTTTTCTGTGACCTCCATATGTATGCCATAGTGCTACACACACACACACGCACATTGCACACGCGCGCACACCATTCATGTGCGCACATACGTAATATTGCATATATAATATAATTAATCTTTAATATATAATTGACAGCATGTGCATAGCTTTATACTGTCTTCTCTGTTACAGCTTCCTCCCGATTAGGCCGAGCACTTGCTGAGCTCTTTGGACTCCTTGTTAAGCTTTGTGTGGGTTCTCCTGTCCGCCAGAGAAGGAGCCATCATGCTGCCAGTACCACTACTGCACCAACACCTGCTGCTCGATCAACAGCTTCAGCTCTCACTAAGCTTCTCACAAAGGGCTTATCATGGCAGCCCCCACCATATACACCTACTCCCCGCTTCAGGTGAGTTCCTATTTGAGATCCAGGTAATAGAATGTGGCGATAGAAATAATGTTCTGTGGGGCCGGGAGAGATGGCTCAGCGGTTAAGAGCACTGACTGCTCTTGCAAAGGACCCGGGTTCAATTCCCAGCATCCACATGGCAGCTACAAACTGTCCTTAACTGCAGTTCCAGGGGAATCAGAAGCCCTTTTCTGACCTCTGGCATTGCACACGACATGAGTGCACTCACATACATGCAGGCAATACATTCATACACATGAAATAAAAATAATAAAATATTTTCAAAAAAGAAAAAAATGTTCTGCTTAATCAGATTAGAGATCATCTCTCATTTTCTCTAGATAGCTACTGCCCTGTAAACTGTCAGGTACTTGTTTTTATTATACTTCATATGCAACATGTAAATTTCATGTTTAACTTGCGGTTAAACTGCATTTCAGGAACTTTTTAATTCTTTATTGGGTGGTATTGCCTAGATGGTCTAATCAGTCTGTTACTTCAGTGCTTTGTTACATTTTGCTTTTGGCTTTTTTGTGGATTTCTCACTGTTTTTGTGTCTATCTCAGAAATGGTTTGTTTGTTTTTTCCTTCTTCCACCCTCTTTTAGGCTGACATTCTTCATCTGTTCAGTTGGGTTCACATCTCCGATGCTGTTTGATGAGAGGAAGTATCCTTACCACCTCATGCTGCAGAAATTTCTCTGCTCTGGAGGACACAATGCTCTTTTCGAGTAAGGATAATTTGCTTCACAGTGAATCATTTCTTGCAGTTTAGTCTTTCCTACATGCCTTAGCAGCTCACCGCTTTCTAAGTCACTTACCCTGTGACGGATATATAGAGCTAGATAGCCACTAGTTAGGAACCAGCCATGTATATCTTCATTTTCCTCAGAAGGTAGTATTTAATCTATCCTAAAAATGTTCGTAAGAGTCTCTACTTTTTCTCATTTGGCTTATTAGTTGTGATACTGTTTTTCAAATAGACCTGTCTTTTTCTATTTCTCAATACAATAAGGCTTTTTTCTTTGTTTGGTCAAAAGATTTTAAGACAAGCTTCACCAGATTGGATGAGGTTTTTTTTTTTGGTTTTTTTTTGTTTTTAAAGAAAAAAGCTAATAAATAATAAAGAGGAGATAGATGTATGACCAGTGTAGTTATTGGCAACCTTTTAAATCTAAGTTCTCCCTCATCTAATATACTAGTTTAATATTCTTTCCCCATGTTTGGTCTTCCTTGTATTCAGAACATTCAACTGGGCTCTGTCCATGGGAGGAAAAGTTCCTGTTTCTGAAGGATTGGAACATTCAGACTTGCCTGATGGCACAGGGGAATTCCTGGATGCCTGGCTTATGCTTGTGGAAAAAATGGTAAATCCTACCACGGTGCTTGAATCTCCACATTCACTGCCTGCCAAATTGCCTGGAGGGGTCCAGAACTTTCCACAATTCAGTGCCCTCCGCTTCCTTGTGGTAACTCAAAAAGTGAGTATTTCACATTCTAAAACCAAGGGAAAGTGATTTATCAGGCTAACTGAACAGCTCCCACTTCGTTTTAGTCTGTAATGAAATAGGATTATTGAAGAACAAATGGAATTCTATTCCTGGGTGGGGTTGTTTACAAAAAGGAATGAAGACCATAGGAAGTTTCCATGATATAAGCATATGAACTATAAACTTCTGATTGGATTGAATGCCTGTACCACTCATGCTTCATTAATCTTCCTTAGTGCTCTCAGTGCTAGTCTGAGATTTTGTTGTTGAAACTGACTCACTGTAGAAAGAGTGTCTGTGGGTCATCTTCTTTTTCCTTCTGGGTCTTTGAATTAAAGAAAGAATGATTTTCATACATTTTTCTTTCAAATAACTTACAGGCAGCCTTTACTTGCATCAAGAACCTGTGGAACCGGAAACCCCTAAAGGTATACGGTGGGCGAATGGCAGAGTCTATGCTGGCCATTCTGTGCCACATTCTCCGAGGAGAACCTGTGATTCGAGAGAGACTGAACAAAGAAAAGGAGGGGTCTCGAGGTGAAGAGGATGCAGGGCAAGAGGAAGGTGGCTCCCGCAGGGAACCTCAAGTCAACCAACAACAGCTGCAACAGGTAGGGAGCTAGTCTTAAAATCCAGGCCCTGCACTTTGCGCCTAATAAGAATATAATGCTCATAAATTTTGTGTTTTGTGATAGCATCTCACTGCATAGGCAATGCTGGCTTCATTCAGAATTCTCCTACCTCATCCTCCCAAGTTCTGAGGTTGCAATATCTACCTATCTTGCTTGGTGAATTTTCTATGCTCGCATACTGCTAAGTGCTTAGTTCTATTAACCTATTATTATTAGAAAGAAGGGTGTGGTCCCAAATGCTGTGTACTGGTAATCGATGTGTGTCCTTATAATCATGTTAATTATATGATTCTCAGAAGCCTGCTAAGAATATTCTTTCTAGGCAGGCTATCCTCAACTACTTTTCTGGTTAAAGCTATAGAGCATAGATTGAAACATCAGTCACCTACAGAACTATATCACTTTATTTTTAAAATATTCTGTTTATTTTTCATTTTATGTGCATGAGCATTATTGCCTGCATGTATATAGGTACACTTGGGTCGTGCAGTGCCCACAGAAGTCAGAAGAGGACTTCAGATTCCCCTGGACCTGTATTTATGGACAGTTGTTAGCCAATAGGCCCTCTGCAAGAGCAGCCAGTGCTCTTAACCATGGAGCCAACTTTCCAGCCCCCTATTTCACTTTCAACTAAATGTTTAAGCAACATGTTGAAAATTGGATATTAGAAGTGGGAGGATAAAGAAGCTTAAGTTCCTACCAATTTAGTTTCAAAGAGTTGTTTTTGAGATAGGGTCTCCATGTAGCCCCAGCTGACCTGGAAGTCACTATGTAGACCAGGCTGGCCTTGAACTCACAGAGATCCACCTGCCTCTGCTTCCTGGGTGCTGGAACTAATGGTGTGGCACCACCACACTCAGCTTCAAAGAGTATTTGTTTAGCACCCACTTAATCCAGTTAGTGCTGATCATATGCACATGGGTGAGGCGCTATCCACTCAAGCATTGGCAACTCACTGGTGGCCACACTCACTATGAAAAGTTTTTGTCCCTTCCCCAGCAACCATCAACTACCAGTAGCTCCTCAAGTAGGGGTGAGGCCCAAGAGTCCCTCCCCTATCCATGCTGAAATTTTGATTGGCCTGATCTTGTGCGGGTAACCACAGTTGCTGCGAACTCGTGTGCAATTGCTCTGTCGTGTCCAGAAGACAGCATTTTACAGTACGCCTTCCCATCTTCCAGCTTTTGTTTTTTTCGGGGGCCCCTCTTGATGATGTTACCTGAGCCTGGAGGCAAGGGGAGTTTATTGTGGGCTAAGCACTTATTTTCAGCGCTTTGAGTAGTACTAATCTATATGTTTAGAAGGCAGTTTGACAAAATTACCATTTACCAAATCAATAGTAGGTTCTACTCTATGACCTATGAGTTCTCCAGCCATGGGGTTTTGACCAGGTGCACAGTTACACCAGGAATGAATTCCCTTCTGTGCAGCAGGCCCCAAATCCAATCAGAAAGCATTTGGTTTCCCCCATAACTGTTGTATCAGGTTGATTTTATGGGCCCATTGCTGGGTAATTCCACTGATGAGTTTTCTCCCTCAAGAGGCCTGCATAGCAGCACCTTCCAGTGCTATGAAAGCCAGCCAGCAGGGAAGAAGTTTCCAGATCATTTTCAACTTGATTTCTCTATGTCTTGTAACCAAAGTATGTTATGTCTTTAGCAATAGAGTTGTGGTTCGCAATCAAGAGCAGTGGGTATAGCCTGTTGTTTAAAGGGCCTCTGAGAATTCCCTAACTAATAAATCTTAGAGGGTATCCCATGTCTGGCACTGAGAGTTAATAACCTATGCTTTCTGGGAGCAGCATTGATCACCCATGCAGGGTACCTCCATTTGTCTTCCTCAAATTTTTGTATATTAATATTACCATGCCATGGAGGCCCTGTTGAACACCAGCACAATGGAACAAGCCACAGAGTACCTTTTAACCCACCCTCCTCCAATAATAGGAGTTGTTCAGGTGAGTTGACACAGGAGTCCTAATTAATGTCTTGTAAAATATACATCTGTATTTTTTATTATGAAATCAACAGACACTCACTTAAAAGTTTGAGAAATAAGTAAAATTTGTTTTGTCTTTTTGAGACAGTCTCCCTGTAGCCCCAGCTGGCCTGGAACTCACTATGTAGACCAAGCTGACCTCGCACTCACAGAGATTTGCCTGCCTCTGCCTCCCAAGTGCTAAGATGTGCACCACCGTACCAGGCATAAAGTATTCTTTTAAAAGCATTATAATTTCACTACATAGTTGTCTACTTTTAGTCACTTTGTTCTATGCCTAATTTTTAGATCTTTACTTGTATTATTCTCATTCAAGAATTGTTTTGTTACCTACTTTTCTTGAGTGTTAATTTTCTTGTAGTTTGGTGCCAGAAAACTGCTGTAATGTTTGACTCTTACAGATCTACCAAAGAGAAAGGATCATTCATGTTACCTTATTGCCCTGGCTTATAAATACTCATTCATGTAAACTTAAGTTATTCTTTTTTTTATATTTTTATTTCTCTGCTAATGTTGTACTAAGCTCTTGCATGCTTTTTATAGCTCATGGACATGGGTTTCACAAGAGAGCATGCCATGGAGGCCCTGTTGAACACCAGCACAATGGAACAAGCCACAGAGTACCTTTTAACCCACCCTCCTCCAATAATAGGAGGGGTTGTTCGGGTGAGTTGACACAGGAGTCCTAATGTTCCAGGGCATTAATTTGGCTGCCAGATAAACTACTTACTTTGATATTCCTCCATTTCCTGTGCCAATATTTACTTGATGTACTAACTCTGAAAGCTTCCTGTTCCTGAGTCATGCAAATTACTGGCTTTGTTTGCAGAAAAATTCTTACTATACCTAGTTTTTATTGTGTTTTTACCCATTGTTCTTATAGTGACCAAGTAAGCCTTAGTTAGGTTTAGTTGGAGAGAGCAATATCTTGAGATTCTTCTTCTAATATTCTGATTTCTTGTTATCTGAGGATTGTTTGTTGACTTTCTTATTTTCGGTGTGTGTAGTCATTAGATTTTTCTGTTGTCACTTTGTAGGATCTCAGCATGTCCGAGGAGGACCAGATGATGAGAGCAATTGCTATGTCTCTGGGACAGGATATTCCCATGGATCAAAGAGCAGAGTCACCTGAGGTAACTAAAACATGGCATTTAAAGAACCTTCTCCCATTAATTTTAGTATTTCTGTGTACTCTGGAGATTAAAATCTAAAGAAAGATAAGGGAGTACTTGTTTACCTCAGCATTATAAGATCCAACATTGAGCTACCTTGTATTGAGCTGAATGAAGCTTTAGATGAAGCATGAGTCTTAATTGTCAGATAAGAGACCCAAAATGTAGCTGGTAGTACCAATAGTCCAAACTTGGCTATGAATTCCTGGGTAAGGTTACATGAATTTGCCGCACCAGGGGAAAATAATGGGTAGGATCTAAAGACGACTTGGTAGCGAGGTAGTGCATTGGATATTGTGAATAATTGGCAATGCTTTTGGATATTGGAGGCATCCTTCTCTCACGGTTTCCCTGTCTTACATTTACCTTTGTAAATGCCATTATATGTCCCTTTCGTTCTTATTTTTTCCTTTTTTATTAAATTTTTGCAAATTTTGTGCAATTTTTGATTCCCTTTTCCTGTCTACACCCCTTGCCCAATTTCATGTACTCAATTACATTATATATATATATATATAAGGCCTATTTGAAAGTTGGAGCTGTTTGAGAAGGTAGATGTTTTTCATGCACTAAGACAATTACACATTCTTAGCATCTCAGTTTTTTCGTCTTGTACTTCTGGCATATTTTGTCACTCTTCTTCTCTGCCTCCAGGAAGTTGCTTGCCGGAAGGAAGAAGAAGAACGGAAAGCTCGGGAAAAACAAGAAGAGGAAGAAGCTAAATGTCTGGAGAAGTTCCAAGATGCTGACCCATTGGAGCAAGATGAGCTCCATACTTTCACAGATACAATGTTACCAGGCTGCTTTCATCTTCTTGATGAGCTGCCTGATACAGTATACCGTGTGTGTGATCTGATCATGACAGCCATCAAACGTAATGGAGCAGACTATCGGGATATGATATTGAAACAGGTAGTCAATCAGGTAAGCTCTCAAGGTACCAGAAGTCCTCTGGTTTTGAATTCTTTGATTGCAATCTGGCTTTGCTTTGTTTTCTACTATGGTGAATTTACCTATGAAAAACAAAGCTTTCTTTTTGTAGTTAATCTATGAGGTTCTTCTAAAATGTCCAAAACGTCTGTATTAACAGAATAAATTATTTTTTACCTCCTATGTAACAACTTATGACCCAGTGTTTGTCCTTTTTTTTTTTTAGTGTTTTTTTCCCTCATAAAATTAATGTATCATAGTTTTTAAAGTGGAATGAGAAAGAAATTATCCTAAATTTCCACATCTAGATATAGACACATGACATTTGGTTGTGTTTCTTTATAACTTATTTTGTCTATCTATGTATTTAAATCATTAGTATTTTTAGGTGTAGAGCTTCCATTGTAGATGTGTCACTTAAGATTGGACATCTCACGAACACTTACTCTCTGCATGTGGAACTCTGTTCTAGTCTGTTATTTGTTCTTTGGTGAGTGGTGATTAGGATACTTCTCTGTAAATATAAGTGTTCATATTTAGCATACACTGAGAAATTAAACTGTCTATGGATGCGACAGATGTAGGGTTTTCTTTAGGATCTATGAGCTCCAGCCATTTACAATTTTTTTAATTTAGTATTTCTGTTTTATGTGTATGAATGTATTGCCTGCATCTGTGTAAGTGCACCCATGTTATACAATGCCTGCCTCAGAGGTCAGATGAATGTGTCAGATCCCCTGGAACTGGAGTTACAGATGCTTGCTAGCTGCCGTGTGGGTGCTGGGAATATAACCCAGGTCCTCTGCAAGAGCAGCCAGTGCTCACCTAAGTCACATTGAATTGCAAGCGTCCACATGGTAGAAGGAAAGAATGACTCCTTTAAATTGTCTGCATACACATGCACACAAATATTATAAATTTTACAGGTTGTTAAGCTTAAGTATTCATTAGTGTTTATGCCTTCTTTTGATGCAGACATTAAATCCCTATGTTAGTTAGGTTGATACTTAACATTCAGTGAATATGTTGGGAATGGAGGAAGTATATTTTCATAGACCTCAGATTACTCTATGACTTGGCCACTTTTCTGTTTTTTCTAGGTGTGGGAAGCTGCTGATGTATTGATCAAAGCTGCTCTTCCTCTAACAACAAGTGACACAAAAACTGTATCAGAATGGATCAGTCAGATGGCCACCCTGCCCCAGGCTTCCAATTTGGCCACTAGGATCTTGCTTTTAACGCTACTTTTTGAGGTAAGATTTAGACCTTTTGGCCCCTATAATTCATTTATCAAGGGGTTAGCCAACACTTACCATGTAAAACATGGGGGGGAAAGTACGTGAGTCTTCAATTTCCAGTAGTCTAAAATGTGCATAATGAAGTGCAAAATGCAGGGATCTGTATTACATGAATGCTACCAACAATTTTGAGTTCATGGAGTTCATACGTATCATTTCTGAGTAATGCAAGAAGGGCTTCTTAAAGTATTGAATTGGCCAACATTGACCTGGCCTCCATGCACATGTATATATGCTACCTCACCTACACACATTCACTATATACCCCCAAAAAGGTGTCATGTTGCAATCAAAGGGGCATTTAAATGTGATTATCATGGTGGTCATGGAATACTGAGGAAGCCTAACTAGCAGCTGCAAATGGGGTAATTATGAAAATTAGATATTCTCCTCTCTTTCTTTTTTTTTTCTTTTTGAGACAGAATTTCTTTGTAACCCCAGCTGGCCTGAAACTCAAAAAGACCCACCTGCCTCTGCCTCCCAAGTGCTGGAATTAAAGGCATGTGCCACCACACCCAGCTAGGATATTGTCAGTTTTAATTTAATTATAAAGAATCGGACTTCTTTCTCTACCTGATGAGTTATCAGATTATTCAAACAAAAGAGTAGTTTGGACAAGATATGTTACTAGTCCTATCATAAGAAATTGAAGGCATTTGATCTTCTACATGTTCTTCATTTGTAATTCATCCTGTTTATTAAAACACACCTGAACTTAACTGGCACTACAGCAACTTGGAAAATGAGTCTCGTATATATGTCACACTGCCTTAGAACTTCCTTTTAGGATAGAAGTGATAATTATTATATTGTTTTTAGAATAGATACGTATGAGAGATTTCAAAGAACTGAGTGTTTCTAGTCCTCAGTAACATTATAATATAAGGAAAAGTACCTTGTATAGGCTCCATCTGAAAACAGTCACAAGTAATTGTCTTTCTTCTAGTCCTTTTCCATTCAAATGACTGGGTAAGATTACTTTATGGCTGCTTTACCTTTATCATGTATACAGTATTCTGTCTATCACATGCTCTTTATTTTCTCTAAATAACCCCATCTTTATTGAGCATTCACCTCAGTTTTATTTTAAAAGCAACACTTTAGTGCAACTGCATTAAGAACCACCATTTCTAGCCAGGTGTGGTGTTGCAGGTCTTTAATCCCAGCACTCAGGAGACAGAGGCAAGCAGATCTCTATGACTTTGAGTCTAGCCTGAACCTGGTCTTTGTAAAAGTGAGTTCCAGGCCAGCTAGTGCTACACAGTGAAAACTTGTCTCAAAAAGGAAGAACCATTTCTGTTTCGTTTATGCCATCTTCTTTGCAGCAATCCAAACACTTGTACAAATAACTAAATCAGTAACTGTACAGTTTCAGTGTAAGTTGGACTGCGCAGCCTATGTGACCATCCCTAATGATATAAAAAGCCATTTTGATATTAAGCACATATTTAATCTGCTAGTATGATGGGTGGTTTCCTTTTATATCAAAGTTTCCTTAGAAGTAGAAACTATTCCCTGACTCAAAATGAACAGAAATCATGGAGATCACACAGCTAATAAGTGGTAAGAAATAGAATTTGCAGTCAACCAATTCTGTTATTGTCAACCTCTATGATCCTAATGCTTGATATATTGTCTAAAAATTTGTATCTTTTTTTTTAAATTAGGAATTGAAGCTACCTTGTGCCTGGGTGGTTGAGTCAAGTGGCATCCTTAATGTCCTAATCAAGCTCTTAGAAGTGGTTCAACCATGCCTACAGGCTGCTAAGGAACAAAAGGAGGTCCAGACCCCAAAGTGAGTGGCCCTATATCTATCCTGGTTCCACTTCTGTCCTGAAACAGAGGTGCTTGGGCTTAGGCCTAAGTTCCTTTCCTGAGTCTTATATGGGTCAGATTTTTAAGTGTTTTTATAGTTAGTTCCAAAATAGCTGACATTTCCCCAATTTAAGCAGGTTTCTGGCTTTCCCTAAGTAAATAATTTATTTTTAGGTGGATCACCCCAGTGTTGCTCCTTATTGATTTCTATGAAAAGACAGCCATCTCATCAAAAAGAAGAGCCCAAATGACTAAGGTATGTAAAGTATAATTAATGTCTATGGTTGACATGATTTTTTTTTTTTTTTTTTTTTTTTTTTTTTTTTTTTTTGTCTTTTTGAGACACGGTCTCTTCTGTAGCTCCAGTTGTCCTACAACTCACTATGTAGATCAGGCTAGCCTTGATCTCAGGGAGGTCCACCTCTGTGCTGTAATTAAAAGGTGTGCACCACCACACCTGGCTGATTTCTTTTCTTGAGCTGAGAGTAGACCAGAAGAAACTAGGGGGGAAGTGAAGAAATGTTAAGTTCTATGAGTAAAATATAGTTCTCTGGAGGGAGTAGCTGGGTTTTCTCCCCCCCCTCCAAATTTTTTTATTGCGTTTTTGTGCATTTCATATAATAATGAAATTTAGGCCCCCTCCCACGCACCTCCCCCCCCTTCCCAGTTTCAGGTGTTCTGTCATATGTTAAGTCCTGTCTGGTCAAGCATTAGTATACAGATGTCCCTTCATGCAAGTTCATCCACTGGAGTCTAGTTAGCCTATCTAGAGTCACTCCCTTCAAGAGGATCTACTCTCCGTTACCCCACAGTTACCATTTGCCAGTAGGTCCTTGGCTAAGGGCCAGCTGCCCGTTTCCCCCATTCTATGCTGGATTTTTGTCTGTTCTTTTAAATGGAGAGTTCAAATTATTTCTTTGTAGAGTCTCTTGGTAAATGCTTCAAGAACTTAACCCTGGAATTCAGTGTAACCAGGAGTATGCTCTGTTGCTACATCAAGGGCTGGGTAGGCAATAATCCCTCTAAAACTAAAGTCCCCTGAGATGAAGAGTACAATATTCTTCCTTCTTAGAAACCAGATTTGTGTTTCAATATATTTCTTATGACCGTGCTCCTTTGGGGGGAAAATTGGAAACAAAGGGAAAGGAGGTGGTACAAGACAAGAAAATCAGTAATTTTTCTAGATAGGGAGATACTAAGCAATGGGAAAACAAAACATATATGAAAGCATCTCTGAAATTTACTAAATGTCCTGTATGTTTCTTTTTTCTGTGTTAGTTTAAGCAATGAATACTGCTAGCCAGTATTTTGTTTAGCAGTCAACCTTGAAAGAGATAACAAAGAAATTTTATTTGTTTACATTTAGTACCTACAGTCCAACAGTAACAACTGGCGCTGGTTTGATGACCGCTCTGGGCGTTGGTGTAGTTACAGTGCCAGCAATAACAGCACTATTGATTCTGCTTGGAAATCTGGTGAAACAAGTGTACGATTCACTGCAGGCCGAAGAAGATACACCGTCCAGTTTACTACAATGGTGCAGGTACATGTTCAACTTACAGTGTAAACTTTTTGAAAAGCAGGGACTGTATTCCATATACAATTTGCTTTGTTTCTTTCTGAACCAGGAATCCTATCATGTTCGCTTCTAAATCACGTGTAATTGTCAAAGAACTGAGTTTTTCTTATCTTTGGTTAGGCCGTAGGTCTGTAGTAGTTTGATAACTGTCCTTCCTTGAAATTATTTTTGTATATATTCAGGCAAGATTTAGAGGCTGTTTAGTGGTTAAGAAATGGTATCTGCTCTTTTGGAAAGTTTAGAATTTATGGCATATCTTTATGTCTGCTACTTTTCCTCCAGATACCTTTGGCTTTTCTCTTTATACATTGTAGAGATGGAATAAATTGCTATAGTTACTTTCTATTGTAGCATTTTGCTTTGAAGGCCTCCACTTCACACCTCTATGATTGTGTTTTTGGTAGAAATTTTTTTCTTTTGCCTCTTTGAATTCTTAGGTTAATGAAGAAACAGGGAACCGAAGGCCTGTGATGCTAACTCTCCTCAGGGTACCGCGACTGAATAAAAACTCAAAAAGCAGCAATGGACAGGAACTAGAGAAGACACTAGAAGAAAGCAAAGAAATGGATATCAAACATAAAGAAAATAAAAGCAATGGTATGAACTGTTCATTTTGAATCTTTTTTTCTTGAGATGATGGAGGTTTGCTATGTAGCCCAAATCATCCTCAAATTCTTACAGTCTCACCTCAGCATCCCAAGTAGCTTGGGTTATAGGTGTTTATCACTGTACCCTACTTTAAGATTGATTTGATGATGATGATGATGAAAGTATGGGTTTCTGCACATGCATGCAGTGCCCATAGAGGCCAGAAGATGGCATCAGGTTCCCTATAGCTAGAGTTAATAGGCAGCTTGGGAGCTGCTTGACATGAGTGCTAAGAACCAAGCTTGAGTCTTCTACAAAAACAGTATGTCCTCTTAACCACTGAGCCATCTCTCCAGCTTCCGCATTTTGCATCTTTAAAAGTGTTTTACCAGCTGGGAGTGGTGGCACACGCCTCTAGTCCCAGCACTTGGGAGGCAGAGGCGGGTGGATCTCTGTGAGTTCAAGGACAGCTGGGGCTACAGGAAGACCCTGTCTCAAAAAGACCAAAAAAAAAAAGTTTTACCTAGATGCCGGGCGTGGTGGTGCACGCCTTTAATCCCAGCACTTGGGAGGCAGAGGCAGGCAGATCTTTGTGAGTTCAAGGACAGCCTGGTCTACATAGTGAGTTCTAGGACAGCTGGAGCTACAAGGAGACCCTGTCTCAAAAAAGACAGAAAAAAAAGTTTTACCTAAAGCTACCTAGTATGCATTTATGGTTTAAGAGCTAGCCAGTTTCATGACAAACTCTTTCCAAGGAGCAGTAAGAGATATAATAGTCTTTATGCTCACCTTTTCCTCTGGTCTTAGAATTGGGTCTGCTTTTCATAATAGGGCCCAAGTGATTGGCTTAAGCTCATGCCTTTGGAAGAAGTATGAGATGAAATATCAAATTATCTACACCATTATTTTCACATTCATAGATAATCCCTTGGCCCTAGAGAATACAAACACTGAAAAAGAGGCTAGCCTGGAAGACACAAAAACTGGGGAGATCCTGATCCAGGGCCTGACGGAAGATATGGTGACAGTTCTAATCCGAGCCTGTGTGAGCATGCTGGGAGTCCCTGTGGACCCAGACACTTTGCATGCTACCCTTCGCCTCTGCCTGAGGCTCACCCGGGACCACAAATATGCCATGATGTTTGCAGAGCTAAAGAGTACACGCATGATCTTGAATTTGACCCAGAGCTCAGGCTTCAATGGGTTTACCCCCCTGGTTACCCTTCTCTTAAGACACATCATCGAGGATCCCTGTACCCTTCGTCATACTATGGAAAAGGTCAGTATTTTTGTGTCAGTTGCTAATCTTTACATCATATTTTTGTTTTCCTGGTTCTTTGAACAGAAATCTGGAACTTGGTATCTATCACTTAATGAGTATGCCTAGCAAGTTTCCCAGCATCCTAGGAAATTTGATTATGTTACTGAGTGACATTTTTTTAAATGAGAAAATATCTTTTGTTTTTCTACATGTAGTTTTATTCTAGTCATGTCTGGCAATCTAGCACGCACACCACAGACATTGCATATGTGAGTATGTCAAGCACATGCAGAAGACAGAGCAGGTTGTCTTCCTCTGTCACTCTCCACTTTATTGCCTTAAGACTTGGTCTCACTGAACCAAAAGCTCTCTGTTTCAGCTAGGCTGACCGGTCAGTGAAGTTTCTGCCGTACATAGCCTTCCCCTTGTAAGCCCCCCTCCAGTACTGAGGTTATAGGTATGCCTAGCCATGCCTAGTTCTTTATGTGGATGTTGATAATTCAAACTCATCCGGAGAATGAATAGCAGCTCTTTTGCTGCGTCATCTCCCCATCACCCCTACAAACTCTTATTCTCTGTATTTTTATGTGTATGAGTGCTTTGCATGTATGTAAGTGCACCATGTGCGTGCACTGCCTGCAGAGGCCAGGAAAGGGTGTCAAATCCCTTGAACTGGAGTTAAAGATGGTTGTTAGGTGCTGAGAATCAAACCCGCATCCTCTGAAAGAAGAAAAAATCTTCTCAACCACTACCACAAACTATTGATGCTGAGCTCTAGGTATAACTTAGTGCCTTGCACTGAGTTAGACGCCACCATGCATAGATAAGAAGAATTATTTGGAATTATTTGTAATATCAAGAAACTACAAGCCCAATATCAAGCAGTAGGCACCTGTATAAATTGTGGTTTTATATAAATTACAATTATTCTGTATTTTAAAAAATGAAAATTGTAACTGACCAGGTAGATCATATCCTTAAGGATTATGGTATGCTAGACTAGATAGCATTGCAAGTTTGGTAAAAGCTTAAATACCATAAGATGTTAATTTTGTGAACATTTTGATGACAAAGGAATGTTTTCCGAAATCTGTGCCTTAAAGATCATTATTTTGTAGGAACACTTCTCAGGTGTTCACCTGAAAACCTGTTTTCAAAACATTATACTTAGGGGTCATAAAAATATATACTTCAGATTTTGAATTATTTATAATCTGTCATGTACTATGATAGGCGTTTTAACAGTTACCCATTGTAAAAATCAAATAATATGTCTATATGTTTTAGGAAATTAATCATTGGAAGAAATGACAGAATATATAATTACAAAAATACAATGTTTACATTAAGACCACTGCAGAGGTAGAAGGCAAATATCTTATTCATGAAAGCTTTTCCTCCAGTTACTATTAAGAATTTCCTGTTCTCCTACCAAATTCTTGTCAACAGATATCATATGACTATTAATAGACTTCAGCTCCATTTTTCTTCTGTTTTACATTATTTCTCACAGTGTTATAGTGTTGCAATATGCATTTTTGTGCTTGCCTTTATTTTTTTTAAGATTGTTAGTCTTAGGAATTCCTAGAAATCAGATTTTCAAATCTATTGTCTACAATGTATGGACAGGAGACAGCCCAATTGGGGAAGAGCCAACTACATGCAGTCAGAATTTGGACTAAAACTCAAAATGTTAAAACTTAACAAAACTTATAAATGCTGAGATTATTTATAGATCCTTATTGGATGAAAGGGAACCTTTAAAAAAAATTAAGTATAAAATTGAAGCTGGGAGATAGTGGGAACCAATGGAAGATCAGTGGCCGTTGATAAAATTGTGTTGCCAATTTATCATCTAAGTTGATAAAATTGTGTTTGCCAATACCCATTGAAGTTGTGGGTATGGAGAGCCTAGTATACTCTTATTTTTGATAGGACTGGAAATTGTAACAACCACATTGGAGGGCAGTTTGGTACTGTTGGCTTAAGATAGTCTTTTTATCTAGAAATATTATGGCTGAGAATTTGCCTTATGACTAACATCAGTTATGCCAGCATGCATAGACAAGAGTATTTATTTGGAATTTGAGTATTTACTTGGAGTATCAAGAAACTACAAGTCTTTTAACATTAAGCAGTAAACAACTGTATAAATTAGGCTTTTAGCCAGGCATGTTGGTGCATGCCTTTAATACCAGTACTTGGAGGCAGAGGCAGATGGATCTCTGTGAGATCAAGGCTAGCCTGATCTGCATAGTGAGTTCCAGGCCTGCTTGGGCTGTAGGGGAGATCCTGTCTCAGAAAGACCAAAAAAAAAAAATTATAGCTTTATATAAATTAAAACCGTTCTCCCGGGCGTGGTGGCACACACCTTTAATCCCAGCACTTGGGAGTCAGAGGCAGGCAGAGCTTTGTGAGTTCGAGGCCAGCTGGGGCTACAAAGAAACCCTGTCTCAAAAAAACAAAAAAAAAAGTTCTGTATTTAAAAATGAAACTTATAACTTGCTAAGTAGACCATAAATCCTCAAGGGGTTTAATATTCAAGACTAGATAGCATGGCTAATTTGGTGTAAACACCAAAAGATGTTAATTTGTGAACATTTTGATGACAAAGGAAACAGTCCATAAAGTTTGATATCTCCTGTAGCTGTCATTATTTCCGACTACTGATTGGCTGAGGCATAAAGAAAATGTTTAATTTTCTTACACTTGAAGTGTGTGTCTGTTACATATTTTGAACCGTTGTGATTTAAAATTGAAACATGGGGCTGGAGCAATGGCTCAGCGGTTAAGAGCATTGACTGCTCTTGCAGAGGACCCGGGTTTGATTCCCAGCACCCACATGGCAGCTACCAACTGTCCTTAACTCCAGTTCCAGGGGAATCTGAAGCCCTTTTCTGACCTCTGGCGTTGCATGACACAGGTGCACCTCACATATGTGCAGCCAATACACTCATACCTATAAAAATAAAAATAAAAATTATTTTTAAAAATAAATTGAAACATTTGGGAAAGCTAGAGCCAACAGTTAAATGTGGAAGCTATATGGCACCTGTGGTCCAGATATATTTCCCAATTTCTATTATGATCATAAGCTCTCCGGTGTAAGAATTGATCATTTTGAGGTCTGCAATAGGTCAATAATAGCTTATATGTATTAAAGCTAAATTACTGTGTGGGGAGGGAAGATAGGAGATGGGGTGATAGTTCTGTGATAGCAGGAAAAGCAAGGAATTCTGAAGGGATCAGAATACTCTATGGAAGAAAAGCACCAAAGTAAAGGACACTTATTTCTCTTTGATTGCTCTAAGTAGTATTTATCAAATTTTTGGTAATTCTCTAGACTTAGCACACTAACTATGACCTGAATAAAATCCAGAAAGACCTGACTAGAATAAAAACTTGAGTTCCAAGCAATTCAAGCATGGTTTCCCAAGTACTTGTATTCATCCTCTTTACCTAGGAATAAAGGTGGAATAGGATGATGGTCTGAAAAGTGAGAACGCCATGTCACACTGTGTTCTTAGCTCTATGGACAATAAAAGTACTTGATATATGAGCCACGTTTTTTAATTGTGAAGGGTCTTGAAGATCAGCTGTACCTTTCTCTCAAATCTAAAGCTGTTAACTACTGTCTTGAGGCAGAGCTTGGGTAGTATTTTAATCTTTGATAATTTCCTTGACTGCATTTGCATTTTTAGAAAGTATTGTTTAATCAACAATGCTTTTTACTAGGTTGTTCGCTCAGCAGCTACAAGTGGAGCTGGAAGCACTACCTCTGGTGTTGTATCTGGCAGCCTGGGTTCTCGGGAGATCAACTACATCCTTCGAGTTCTTGGGCCAGCCGCCTGCCGCAATCCAGACATATTCACAGAGGTTGCCAATTGTTGTATCCGCATTGCCCTTCCAGCCCCTCGAGGCTCGGGAACTGGTGAGTTTCATTTGCTGCTGTTCTTTGACACACTGAAGTCTTGTTTTTTCTTAGAGATCTATAACTTGGAGAGCCTCTTTAGGCAGATGTTGACGTTGTCAAGTTGATCATTTATTTGGGTCAGTAAATTCTACAGGTACTTGCCAGTTACCAAGGACTCAATCTACTCTTCCTACAAAGAGGTCATCTTAATGTAGCACTTACTACAGTTGATGGTTTATATACATAGTGAAAATTGAAGAGCAATTAACAAATTGTGAAGTTTTTTTTTTTTATAAGACAACTGGCCTAAACTCTTCAAAAATAGTAATATGAAGGGAAAATGCAAGCATCTGTTCTAGGTTAGACGAGACTAGAGAGATAACTGCCACCACTTAAATTGGGTATCTCCATCCACTTAAAGTTTTTTAGAGAAAAGATGAATTCTATGTATGTGATAATACATCTATGTTAAATTTCTTGGGTGTATAGTCTTCAAAATTGCATGTAGACATAATTAAGGGAGGTCAGATGATAATTGTAGATGAAAAATACATAAGTGTGTATTCCACTATCCCTTCAGCTTTTCATAGGTTTATGAGGTTGTTTTACATAAAGAGTTGGGAGGGACTCTTTGTGGAGTCCCAGCTTTGTGCCTGGCCCACTAGCATTTGTCATGTATAATCTCATTTCATATTCAAAATAACCACATTTCAAGAATTTAGAAAATGGAGTTTGTTGAGGCAAAGTAGAACTTGATTTGGAAACAAATTTTCTGTAAAGTATAAAAAAACAGACTGGAGAGGTAGCTCAGCAGTTAAGAGTAGTTGCTGCTCTTGCAGAGGACCGGGGTTCACTTCCCAACAGCACATGGTAGCTAACAGTGATCCATAACACCAGTTCCAGGGGATTCGACATTCTTCTCTTGCCTCTGTGCTCATGAACATAAAAATAAATAAATCCAAGCCAGGGTGGTGGCGCACGCCTGTAGTCCTGGCCTTTGGGAAACAGAGGCAGGTGGATCTCTGTGAGTTTCAGGCCAGCTGCAGCTATAGGAAAACCCTGTTTCTAAAAAGACCAAATAAATCCTAATTTTAAAAAAAAAAAAAAAAAACATATTTCGGGGCTGGAGAGATGGCTCTGAGGTTAAGAACACTGACTGTTCTTGCATCCGACCCAGGTTCGAATCCCAGCACCCACATGGCAGCTAACAACTGTCCATAACTTCAGTTCCAGGGGATCCGACAGCCTCTTCTGTCCTCCATGGGCACTGCACGATACAGGTGCACTTAACTACATGCAGGCTTAATATTCATACACGTAAAGTAAAAATAATAAATTATAAAAAAATTTAAAAACTGATTTTTCTAGTATAAGACAAGCTTATTTTGAAAATGATCTAGTTTCCTAAGCTCTAATGTATTACACAATCTCCCTTCTGGATACTACTTTGTAACTAAGTTTAGATACCAGTTCACTATTGTCTGATTTTTCTTTCTCATTTTGGCCTAGCTTCAGATGATGAATTTGAGAATCTGAGAATTAAAGGCCCTAATGCCGTACAGCTAGTAAAGACAACACCTTTGAAGCCTTCATCTCTGCCTGTCATTCCTGATGCTATAAAGGAAGTGATCTACGATATGTTGAATGCTCTGGCTGCATACCATGCTCCAGAGGAAGGTATGTGGCTAGCCAACCTTTAGAAACTGGGCCCTGGAGAAGTACATTATTTTGCCTGGGTCATTTCTACTTGCACATGGCTTAGTAAGCACTATTTGCACATTCCTGGATTAAAAAATGAGTACTCTCTACACTTCAGAAGACCCAGGTTCAGTTCCTAGCACACACATTGGGCAAGTCACAACTGCATAAGTATGACAAACTGCACATCCCTGAAGAAATACCACAATTGCCAGAGTGGTAATGAAATGAGATGATATGAAGACATTACCATATGTCTGTTATGAGAATGTATGCCATACAGAGAGGAGAATGAACCAAGATTCAATGGGTAATAATAACATAAAGCAAAATACCTTTTCAGACCACAATTCCAATCTACCTTTATTCCCAGTTAAGAGGATGCATGTAAGTACTTGGGAAAGCATTCTTGAATTGCTTGGAACCCAAGTTTGTATTCCAGTCAGGTCTTTCTGAGTTTTATTCAGGTTATACTTAGTGTGATTAAGTCTAGAGAATTCTTTTTAAAAAGTTGATGAATACTGCCTTTGCTTTGGCACTTTTCTTCCATAGAGTATTCTGATCCCTTCAGAATTCCTTGGATTTCCTGCTTTCGTAGAACTATCACCCCATCTCCTATCTTCCCTCTCCACAGTCATTTAGCCTAGCTATAGATATTTACTGGCCTCTTATTATATAGCCCTTAGCACTAAATTGTTGGTTTGGGTTTAGTGACAGTTTAGAAAAGTGAGAACCTATTAAATAAATTGCTGTAGTGCTAGTAATTAATGTTAGAATAATGAAAGCAACCATCCCCTACTAGTTGGGTAGTCATTTATCATTTAATGACAAACATACATTCTGAGAAATGCATTGGTAGATGATGTTATGTAAGCATCATAATGTGCATCTACATAAAACTTGATTATATTTCTGTTTTTCTAGCAGACAAATCTGATCCTAAACCTGGTGGTATGACCCAAGAGGTTGGCCAACTCCTGCAAGACATGGGTGATGACGTATACCAACAGTATAGATCACTTACTCGTCAGAGTAGTGACTTTGATACACAGTCAAGTTTTTCCTTAAATGTAAGTTGCTTCCAATGGTTGCGTGTTTCTTCTCCTGTTCCACTGCCCCTGTATTCTCAGTATAACTACTAAAAGAAACTTTAAAAACCCTAAAGAGTTATCTCAAGGAAACTTTAAAAGTACCAAGTTTACCCAGCACTTGGGAGGCAGAGGCAGGCAATCTCTTGTGAGTTCAAGGTCAGCCTGGTTTACAAAGCAAGTTCCAAGTCAGCTAGGGCTACAGGGAGACCCTGTCTCAAAAAGACCCAAAAAAAGTACCAACTTTAATTCCTATGTATATTTTCTGTTGCTTAAAGATGAAGACAAAAACTGAAATATCCGTGGCATTTTTATTTTCCTTGTCTTCTATTCTTGTAGTCACTGTTTATGATACCTTCCCATAAATTAGAGGGAGAATATGGTGGAAAAGTCAGCTAAAGAGAATATATAGCATACCCAGTCATTGTCCTCAAGAGGAGTCTTGCTGTTTAAAGACTATCTCTAAAATTCACTGCAGTTCAAATATTTCTTCTTCCAGAGTCAGGTCTTTGCTACAGATGGTGCCGCTACTGAGACTTCCACATCTGGACCCTCCCAAGTAGAAGGTAGTAATTTGGACTTTTTCTTATTATTTTTTGGACAATAACATGAAGAAACTGGTTGTCCTAGGCAAAGAATAGATTGGTAGGAGTAATTGTATTTGTTGGTGTTGGTAAACTTTATTGGGACTGAGTTTGGTGTTCTGCAAATACAGGGTCATGGTATGCTCAATTGGACTATAATTTCCATTTACTTGTTAATGGTTGTTGTAAGATCCCTTTTGTTGTATTCTTTAAACTAGCCAATAGTTCATTTGATAGTTTCCTTAAGCTGACTTGTAGATCTTTGGTGCCAGTGACACTATTCTAGCTATATGTTTTTTGTGGTGGATTCCTTTATCCTTGGTTAGTAAAGAGCTTTAAAATCTAATTTAGGAGATATTTAATATACTAATCTCAAGAGATGAATCTAAAATATGAAAGTAATCAGTAAAATATGGCCAATTTATTTTAATGACCTTACTGCCCAAATTAAATGTATAGTATAGGTAATGACAGTACTAGTCAAAGAAAACATCATGCCCAAGACTATACTGGGTACTACATCTGCTTTGTACCAGTTACAAGTCAACTATTGGGATGTACACATACTTCCATGAGATATAGTAGGCACCTAATATTTCCTTGTATCTAGGTGGCACAGGAGGCCAACATTTGAGCCAAATTAGATAACTCTGTACTAGGCAAGCATATGAGGACAAAGAGGTAAAAGAGGATGGATATTTAGAGAATTACTATTAGTACACAATTTCTGGAGCATTTCAGGGAATTGTGAGTGTATGAATAGTTGGGCCTTGCCTTTCCTGGTATGCTTTATATGCCACATCTGAGACCCCAGTAATCCTGCTTTGTATAAGCAGCCTAAAGTGAAAGAGATACTGTATTCTTTCTGACTTGCTCTTTTTCATTATTCCAATGTGAAATTGAGTGAGTATTTGCCTTTTTCTCAGGAGCTTCAACTCCAGAGGAGTCCCGAGATGGGAAGAAAGATAAAGAAGGGGACCGGACCTCTGAGGAAAGCAAGCAGAAAGGCAAGGGCAGCAAACCTTTAATGCCTACCTCCACTATCCTTCGTCTTCTGGCAGAGTTGGTGAGGTCCTATGTTGGTATTGCTACCCTGATTGCAAACTACAGCTATACCGTGGGCCAGTCTGAGCTGATCAAAGAGGTAATATTTCAAATTTTTGCTTAAAGTCTTATACTTCCATCATTTGGGTACCTACTGTGTGTTAGAGTCTGTTAGAAACTCATGAATGCCAACCCAGTGTTGAGATTTAAAAAGCTAAGTATTTTCCCCATCTGTGGGTAACTGCAGGAAGTAAGTTGATGAGATTTGTTCTGTTGAAAATATGTTGTTCAGTGTGGATATTGCAAAAGCAAGTCAAATTAAGACCAGTTAGGAATATTAGAAGTGTAGATCAAAATTTTACTGTGGGAGTTAAGGAGATGGTTCAATGGGTAAGCGCAGTTGGTGTACATGAGGACCTGAGTTCAAATTCTCCGCACCCAAATAAAAAGGTATTCATGACTACGTGTGCTCCTGTAACCCCAGTTCTGTGGGAGGCAGGTACAGAGGGATCCAGTTTCAGTGAAAAGCCCTTTCTCAAAGGAATGAGGCAAAGAGTGATAGATAGGATACCCAAAATACTCCTCAGACCCACATACACACACAAAAACATCTTGGTAAATTTGATGGAAAATGAATGAATAAAAGGGATATTTTAAAAATAGAAATCTAACTTGAGAGATGGCTCAGTGATTAAGAGCACTGGCTGTTCTTGCAGAGGACTCAGATTCAATTCCCAGCACCCACATGAGGGTTAACAACCAGTTCAAGGGGATCCGATGCCCTCTTCTGACCTTCATGGGCATTGCATGCCACAGTTGCACTTATACACATGCAGGTAAAACTCATACACATAAAATAAAAATTAAAAAAATATATTTAAAGATAAAAATCAATGAAACTTGGATTTGCAGGGTGAAAAGAGAAAACTGGGAGTTAATGGTGTTTCATGGTGGTGGGCAAGCAAGAAGAAAAGATTTGAAGAGATGTGGGTTTATCTATGGGGCAACTAAGTAATATGTCTAAGGAATATTGGAATAAATCAAATAAGTAACAAGGTATAGATGTTCACACTTTTACAAAGGCAATAAATATAGTAGCAGTATGAAAAATAAGAGGTAAATTTTAAATGTCCATCAGGGATGTACAAAAAAGTCATATTTTATATGGCCCAGTAAGGAATACTCTCAATGTTAGATTTTTTTTTTTTTCAATGGATTGCACTTTAAGAAACAATTCTGAGGGGCTGGAGAGATGGTCCTCTTGCAGAGAACCCAAGTTCAGTTCCCAGCACCCACATGGCAGCTAACCACCAGTCTAACTCCAGTTCCAGGGTATCTGACACCCTCCTCTGACTGCACGGGCATTGGCACAACACAGGTACACTTATACACATGCAGAAATAATTCTCGGGGCTAGAGAGATAACTCAGTGGTTAAGAGAACTGGCTGCTCTTGCAGAAGTCCTGTGTTCGATTTCCTGCACCCACGTGATGGCTGACAACTGTCCTAACTCCAGTTCCAGGGGATTCTCACGCCCTCTTCTGACCTCCACAGGCATTACACTACACGGGAGCACTTATATACATCCAGGCAATACACTCATGAACTTAAGATAAAAATAATAAATATCTTTTAAAAGAAGCAATTCTGTTAATTTCAGACATTTTCACATAATCTAGGTTGGCCTCAACTCACTATGTAGCTTGAATTTAGAATTCTCCTATTGCCACCACACAAGTGCTGGGATTATAAGCCTGCACCTACCTCGGCCAGTTTATGCAGTGCTGGAGATGGAACCTGGGGCTTGGTGCTTGTTAGACAAGTAGTCTACTAACTGATCCACATCTCCAGCCCACCAATATATATTAAATGAATGTCCAAGGAGCAATTTATTGTTCATTTAATGGGACCTTGATTTATGGATCATAATCATAATTTTGTTGTTAGTAAATAGCAAAGGGTCTGGGTGTTGCAGTGTCTTGGAAGTCATTCTATTTATAAAACTTTTCACTTAAATCCAAATTCAAAATACACAAATCCTAAGTGAATCACTAGTTTTACATGGCTATCTCCCACCTAGACTAAAAACAAGCTCACAGAAGCTGCCCCTATTAAGTGGCTTTGTATTTTATGTAAATGGAACCTTCTACTTTGAAATCTTTTTTGGTCTTTTTGAAGCAGGGTCTCCCTGTAGCCCCAGCTGTCCTGGAACTCACTGTGTAGACCAGGCTGGCCTTGAGCTCACAGAGATCCGCCTGCTTCTGCCTCCCAAGTGCTGGAACTACAGGCGTGCGCCACCACGTCCAGCTACTTTGAAATCTTTTTATCTGACTGGTTTTGCTTATCAAATTTTGAGATTCATTTTTATGTGTAGTTGGAGTTTCTTCCCATGACTGTGTGATTGTAACCATAATCTTCTGATCCATTCTACTATCAGTTAAGATCTGGGTCTTTGTGTGTTTGTAGCTATCACTATAGTGTTACTATGAAGTTATGTGCCTAAGAGTACAATTACTGAGCTCTAAAGCATGAATTTGTATAGCTTTAGTTAATGATGCCAGAAGCTTACCAGTATTTGGCCAAGTATATATTATTATTAACCGTATATGAGAGTTCTTACCATTTTACTCAGAAGCCATCACTTGATATTTTTCCATTTTACTCATTCCAGTCAGTTTGTTGTTGACCGTATTATGATGTGTTTATTGGTTCTTTGGATACTCTTGGGAAGTTGAGGTTGGTTGGTGGTTGGTTGGTGAATTGGTTGGTGAGACTTCTTTGTTGGTGGTGGTGGAAGTGGTATGTCCAAACTGACCTTAAATTCCTGGGCTTAATTCTTCCCATCTTCAACTTCCTGAATAGCTGGAACATTCATACCAATAATACCTCATGTTTTTTCATTAGACTCATATACTGTATATGCCAGTCCTTTGTGTCATAAATGCTTCAAGCCTGTATATATTAAGCTTTATTTCAAAGTTTTGCTCATGTGGATTGTAGTTATGATTTATAAAATTACTTTTGGAATAAGACATTTACCTATAAATGTGTTGTCTTTCTCATATATATATATATATATAGAGAGAGAGAGAGAGAGAGAGAGAGAGAGAGAGAGAGACCTTACTGGCATGACTACTAAGAACTATTTTATAAATGCTGTTGCTAATCCTTGTCTCCACACATAAAAGTTATTGGTATTATATTTTCTCTTAAGATTAGCAAAAAACTCCCAGAACCACAAGGAACTTGCCCAAGGACACACTGTATCAGGCCAGAACTGAAATTGAAACTCAGATCTCTGATCCCAAAGCTCAGTCCTTACTAATTTGTCACATTGCTTTCCCAAATTGCAAATCTTTTCCCAGTTATTACCAGTAATGTTACATGACATTATTTGTACTTATATTCAGGAAGTAATTTTGCCTTTTTATTTTATTGAAATTTTTTTCTATTAATATTTGTTCCTATCCTAATCTCACTTTGTCCAATTTTCTAAGCTCTAGAAATCGTAAATGTATTCTTTTTACTGAGGTAAAATTGACATAAAAGTAGTCGTTCTCAAGTGTGGGTTAAATGACATTAAGTAAATTTTCAGTGTTGTACAGTCGTAACCTCTTACTGAGTTCCAAAACCTGTTTCCTTCTAAAATAAATTAACAGAAGCCGGTGTTCCTTTAGTCCCAGTCACCAGAGGCAGGCAGATAGATCTCTGTGAGTTCAAGGCCAGCATGGCCTACATAGCAAGTTCCAGGCCACCTGGGGTGGGTTACAGGAAGACCCTATCTCCAAAAAAAAAAATTATCAGAACAGAAGTCGTAGAGGAAAAAGAAGAGTCTGTGTTAATTTACTTCCTCTGTTTTGGACTTTTTAATAATTTAAAATAATCCAACATTAAAATTTTTTGTTTGTATCTGCTCTCTCACCATCTCTTGGTGTCTTTCATTTATCTCTTTGCAATTTATAGCACAGGGTCCCACGCACATTCAGGTGTCAGTAAACCTTAAAAATTAATTGAATCCTAAAGGGATTATAACATTCAAGAAAGGATATTTGAATCCTTGGCTATTGACTGAATTCTTGTTACAAGCTACTTTTCTTTAGGTCTCAGATTATCTACCATTATAAGATGGAGAAAATACTTGATTTGCCTCAATCTATTTATTGACTTATGAGCAGTTCCATTAAAGTCACTCATGTTTTAAGAAGCCAGTGTGGTTCATTCACATCTAGCTACCTTGTACTTCGGAGGTAGAGGCAGGAGGATCACAAGTTTTAGGCCAGCTTAGACTATATAATGAGACCCTGTGTCAAAAAATTACTATTAACAAATACCAAGTTTTGCCACATGTGATAGTGTACCCCTTTAATCCCGCACTCGGGGTGGAGGCCAGCCTGGGCTTAACAGTAAGATACTGTCTTAGTAAAAAAAGTGATACCTCTGTGTAGTGGGAAATAAATGGGATTCGGAAACTTTATAAAGCCTCCCAACAATCTCTGGTTTGCAATTTACCTAGCTTGGTTCCTCTTTTACAAATGGACTTAATAATTACTCACTGTGGATTACTTAAAAGGAAAACTGTCTATAAATGATGTGGCTTAATTGTGCATGTGAATAAAATGTCACAATTAATGATTTTTCAGGACTGCAGTGTGCTGGCTTTTGTCCTGGACCACCTCCTTCCACACACCCAGAATGCAGAAGACAAGGACACACCTGCCCTGGCCCGTCTATTCCTTGCAAGCCTGGCTGCTGCGGGGAGTGGCACAGATGCCCAAGTGGCCCTAGTGAATGAAGTTAAAGCAGCCCTGGGACGGGCACTGGCTATGGCTGAGAGTACAGAGAAACATGCCAGGTAAAGTGCATACCTAGCCTAATGCTCATAACAGCATCTCTTAATCCATTCTTGGATGGAGAGGTTCCTCTCACTTGAACAAGAGTTCTTTCTGGTCGTGCCAACAGTATAGTAAATGCTCTGGTCTTCGCACTTAGTTGTAGTGTTCCAAAAATACCTACAGAACTGATTATATTTAGAGGAAGTGGACATAACAACTTAGAAAAAACAAAGGGGTGTTTTCATTATATTTGTCTCATTTTTAAGCAAGAAATTTCACAGGTTGTTCATTCTTCTATAATTTTGGTAGAAAATGAAGAATGCTAATGCCTAGAAGAAAGTCGGCGTAGATGCTACTTCCAGAGGGTTGGTTATCTTAGGCAGGTTATTGAAGACATCATTTAAAAATGGGCTACATTCATTTGACAGAGGTGTCAAACTTCTCTCCCAGACTTCAGGCAGTGATGTGTATCATCAGTACTATCATGGAGTCCTGCCCCTCTACCTCCAGCTTCTACAGCAGTGCCACAGCAAAGACTCAGCATAATGGCATGAACAACATCATTCGACTATTCCTGAAGAAGGGACTAGTTAACGACCTGGCCAGAGTTCCCCACAGCCTAGACCTATCCAGGTAAATTCATGTCCTGGACCAGATTGGTAAGGAAGCAGATGATCTAGTAGGTGTAGGTGAAAGTTTCGTGTGCTTTTTACTAAAATGAATAGATCTCAGTTATTTTCATCTTAATTTTGTTATTCATAATACTTTCTGAAGTGGCTGGGCCACCTCTCCTGCAAAAGACTTTGCATTCTGAATTTGATATAGTTTAGCTATTTATTTTCTGTAAATTTATAGTTAGAGCTAAAAACTAGATAGTAGTCTTATTATTTTGGCAGTATATATATGTCACATTCCATGTGAACCATATACCTAATTAAGAGTGTCAACATCAGTTGATAATTCTTGCCTGCACTAATGATATCTTTATGAATTATGAGTGATGGCTTTCTAATTTTTCATTCTGATTTGTTTTGCAAGATAGCCTAAAAGAAAAGTCTGGTCACTCTGAAATACAATTCATACTGAAAATGCAGAATAAAACCTTACGGTGTTTTTTTTTCTTCTGTAGTACCAATTTTCAGTATAAAGTCAAAAAATTGTTCTTATTATAAAAATAGAATTATGGGGGCTAGAACAATGGCTTTGCGGGTAAGAGCACTGGCTGCTCTTGAAGAAAACCCAGGTTCAAATCCCAGCACCCACGTGGCTGCCAACAACCATCTATCACTCCACTTCCAGGGAATCCAGTACCCTCTTCTATCTTCTGTGGGCATTGCATGATACGGATATACGTACATACATGCAATCATAACACGTAAAATAAAAATAAATTATTTTAAAGAAATTGGGATGCGAAAAAAGAACTATGGACTCGGGAAATTTTATCAAACTTAAAAACTAGTGACTGAATTGTTTGGAAGAGTGCTATCATTCTTGGTTTTGCTCAAGTGATTAAACTTCAGGCCTATGAAACTCCTTCAAGACTTCATTTTGATACAGACCTATTAATTTTTGTTGATTAGTTTGCTCTTTTGAGATAGTATCTCACTCTGTAGCCCAGGCTGGACAAGAAGTCACACTGATTTCTACCAAGTGCTAGGATTGCAAGCATATACTGTCATGCACAGCTAGTGCTGAGGATATACAGCTCAATGATACACCACTTGCCTAATGTGTGAGACCATGAGTTCAATCCTCAGCACTACCTAAAAAGAATAAAAAAGATGAATTTTCAAACTCTCAGTCATATAATAAATAGTCTATCTAATTAAAAGCTGGTTAACATTTTCGCTCCATTTGTGTTTTACTTCTTTTCTGGAGTTCAATCATTAGAAATTAGTTTAAAAATGTGTTACCTCCAGGTCTTTAAGCAAATATCCTCTAAAAATGAAATATTCAGCCAAACCAGGTGTGGTGGCGCACACCTTTAATCCCAGCGGAGGCAGGCAGATCTCTTGAGTTAGAGGCCAGCCTACTCTACATAGCGAGTGCCAGGCCAGCTGGGGCTACAGGGAGACCCTGTCTCAAAAAGACATACACACACACACACATACATTTTTCATACCCAGTACAGATCATACATGTTATTTGGATGTCAAAAGTCTATTGCTCTAGTCTGGGCCTGCATCTCAGTTGGTAAAGTACTTGCCTAGCTTGCATGAAACCCCAAGGTTCATCCTCAGCACTGCACAAATCATGCATGGTGGCAAATACTTGCAATCCCAATACCCAGAGTGTGAGCGTAGGAAGATCAGGATTTCAAGACCACCTGAGCTGCATGAAACACTGTCTCAAGACAAAAATCTATTGCTTTGCTTTTCTTGATGTTTGACTACACTGAGGAATCCAGGCCAAATTTCTTCCTTCCTTCCTGGTCTACATTTATGTTATAAAGAGTTCAAAGTCATCTCCTGTTACATAGTGAGTTTGATGCCAGCCTGGACTAGGGGAAAAAGGTTTAAGGACAAAATGCAGGAGTTTGGGGTATATATTTTGATTTGGTTGGTTGGGTTGGTTTTTTACTGCATAGCCTGGTTATGTCTGAGAAGTAATTACTGTTTGCATGTGGTCATCCAGAATTTATTCTGGCTTCTCGTCAATAATTTGTTGCTCATGTGCTTACCACAGCTTCATGAAATATGGTGTTCATTTAGCCCTTGCTCTAGGGAGTGGATTCTTTGAAGGCTTTTAAATCAAACACTGTTTTCTTCTAAATACCAAGTTTGAATGTTAGTTCTAGACTTTGTACCCATTTTTCTTTCTTAGTAACTTCAGTTGTGATAACTTTAGTTAAGTTTTGCAGGTGAACACCTGGTATTTCTGTACTTAGTTCATGTCTGTGTCTGTCTTTATCTTAGTCCTAACATGGCCAACACAGTCAATGCTGCTCTAAAGCCTTTGGAAACACTTTCCCGGATTGTGAACCAGCCTAGTAGCCTTTTTGGCAGCAAGAGTGCTTCTAACAAGAACAAATCTGAGCAGGATGCCCAAGGAGCCTCTCAGGACTCCAATAACCACCAGCAAGACCCAGGTAGAGAATCAGAACCAATGGACAGGAGAGCTGGATGGGTAAAAGTTCTTGCTTGCTGGGCATGGGATTAGGACTGTTCTGATTTGGTGGTGTTTCCCTGGGAACTTTGCTGGCTTTCAGAGATCTGTCATAGTGGTGTGGGAATCTGTCCCACAGAGAATTCCTTCAAATTGCTGCCTTGTTTGGCTATCCTTACACGTAGCCTTGTCTTTACCTTTGTCACCCATTCGTTTTTTCTTGCTGGTTGGTTGATTGTTTCAGGCGAGCCTGGGGAAGCAGAAGTGCAGGAGGAGGATCATGATGTCACTCAGACAGAGGTGGCAGATGGGGATATCATGGATGGGGAGGCTGAAACCGACTCAGTGGTGATTGCTGGGCAGCCTGAGGTGCTCAGTTCACAAGAGATGCAGGTAGGGGGGCAGATCATCCAACATTCTTCTGTTGCGCTACTGAACCAAAACTCCCCAGGTGGTGTGGGTGGGTGAGTACTTTAGATCTTTGCCTCAATGCTGTCTTCAGAGGAGCACAGATGATATGTTTAGTCGATGCTCAGCAAACATGTTTGAATTGTTTTGAAGGAGGGATGGGGGCAGAACTAGAATTCCTGTACTGTGAATTAGTATAGATTGCAACCAGAACCTTAGGCACAGGTGAAATGTTGAGGTAGAAAGCTGGCTTGAAGCTTTGGGGCCCAGTGTTTTTTTATTTACTTGATTCTGATCATTAATGGAAGCTATTTAACACTGCTTTATGCCATACTACCAGTTATCACTGGGGTGTTTTTTTTTAATTAGTCTTCTAAAGACAAGAAAGCATAGTATGATAACTTCTGGAGCTGGTAGCAATGATAAGAAATTGGGTCTATCATCCTTAGCTGCTGGCTCTAAGGCAATCTTCATGTATTTATTCCTGGACAGTTTAAAGACTAACCTGGTTTCATCTAACCAGGATGGACCCATTTTGAAGGACAGTCGATGAGTGTGGATTTATTGGAAGCATGTGGTAGTTTCTATGCTAATAGCACCAAGTGTGTGGTTTTTATGTAACATCCTGTCACACATTATCATAGAAATGTATGCTCCCTTGCTGGCTTTTTTTTATTTTAGGGTTTCAGTGCTAGCACAATGATATACTTGTGTGTGTGTATATATATGTTTTATTTCTCTCCAGGTTGAGAATGAGCTGGAGGACCTGATAGATGAGTTGCTTGAGAGGGATGGCGGATCTGGGAACAGTACAATTATAGGTGAGAGCCCTAGAACTGAGTATAGCCTCTTCCTTTGCCTCAGTCTCTCTTGGGAGGACCCTTTTTCTCATCATCTGCTTGCTCAGCTCTGCCTAAGGGCTCATAGCCAGCCTAGATTGCTGCTTGTCTTGATGTTGATGGTCTTATAGAAGAGAAATTCACAAGCCATCTACAGGCCTGTGGTAGGTCTGAAGGGTTGTGTGGGGTCGTGGTGGGGTGACCATCAGTATAGATGATAACATCAGGAACATCAAAAAAGTGTTTATTCATGGAGGCCTAGAGGAGGCTATAGGGTGAGAAAGTGCTTTTCTTTCAGTTCTTCAATGAAGTCTGGGGGCTCTCGGCCTCTGCCTCAATAGTGTAAATGAGAGTGGTCCATTCCTTAAGGATGGCTCCTTTTAAATTTCTAAGGGAAAATGACAAACCGTTACCATCTCTCAGCTCATTCTGAAGGTGTATATGTTGTTTTTATTTTATTAATGAAGGAAATCAAAGGATAAATGGAAGTAGACATACTCTTTAACGTTTACAAAGGTTTTTTTCACACCCAATGTACTCTGGTTTCACAGTTAGTGGGATCGGCAAGACAGATGTGATCATTCCATTTTACAGATGAGGAAACTGAGACTCAGACAGGTAAAGTGACTGGCCAAGCTCACGTAGCTAGTTGGCAGCAGAGAATCCAGGTCTTCTCCCGCATCCAAAAAACGTGGATATCTGTTAGGTGTACGTAGCTACTTATACGCACCCAATCTGGAAAGGGAAGTCCTCTGTTGTTCAGTGAAGGCTCTGCTCTGTAACCTTCAGTGAGCAGAAGTGGAGAGGATGAATCACAAGAGGACGTGCTGATGGATGAAGCTCCTTCCAACCTCAGCCAAGCTTCCACCTTGCAGGCCAACCGAGAAGGTGAGAGTGCTGAGGCCAGAAAGGCCTCCCTTCTTGCCCTGCACGTCTGACAGACACTACACTAGGGTTTTCCTGAAGGCAGCTGCCCACATGTGCAGAATAAGGAAGCATCTGTCTGCATGCGCTGACATATACCATCCACTTTATCCTCAGCGGGTTTTTCAAATAACGTGTTACTACTGCTTGCCCAGAATTTGTCACTTCTTACTTGGTTCGCTTTCTTCTTACCCACCTGCTGTCATCGCTCCAGATTCCCTCTTACCAACAGGATGCAGTCAGTAGCAAAATAGGACTGGAAAGGCAACAGACTTGGCCAAGTCCTACGCCGTGGCTTCTCAAGCACCACCCTGGAGCCAGCCTCCACATTCAGGCACCCTGCTCAGCGTGTTGATGCATTGATTGGCACTATAAGGAAATCAGGGCTGGCTTACTAAGTCTGTACATCACCCTAGATCTGATTCTTCCTCTCCTAGAGTCAGATACCCCATCGCCTTCCCATTCAGTCTGCCGGCCTGCACAGTAGCCTGTTTTCTAGCTACTCAGTATAGTCCTCCAATGTGCTCCCTTTGTTTTAGATTCCATGAATATCCTGGACCCTGAGGATGAGGAGGAGCACACTCAGGAAGAGGACAGCAGTGGCAGTAACGAGGATGAGGATGATAGTCAGGATGAAGAGGAGGAGGAGGAGGAAGATGAGGAAGATGATCAGGTGAGGGGGGACTGTGTTTGGGTGGTTCAGATGACCTCTTCCATGGGAGCACAGAACTACAGAAAATCAACAGTCTGGGTTGCTAGCTAGCCTCGTCGCCTGCCTCCCCTCATGTGCTCATGTGGCCATGACACCAGGCTTCAGAAAACCCTTACCTCCAGCAATTCTCCATCTCCTATTTTCCCTTAAGGAGGATGATGAAGGTGAAGAAGGAGATGAAGATGATGATGACGATGGCTCTGAGATGGAATTGGATGAGGATTACCCTGATATGAATGCTTCTCCCTTGGTCCGATTTGAGCGCTTTGACCGGGAGGATGATCTCATCATTGAGTTTGACAACATGTTCTCCAGTGCTAGTAAGATACAGGGGCTCAGCTGGGTTTTATCTCTTGATTCTTATACCCTTCTCCAGGGTACGCCAAGCAACGAACCAAAGCAGCCATCAATCTGATAACAGACAGCACGTCTTTTTACTGCCCTGAGTTCCTGGGGCAAGGGATATCTGACTACATCTCTCGGGATAGCATATCCTTACAAGAAGGAATCTCGGAGGAGGCTGCTCTTGCTATTTCCACCTCAGTAAACAGGCAGCTCTTTTAGAGCCTGGACAACTTGATGTTTTGCTTGATCGAAAAATGAGACCAAGTCTGACCACATCAGGCACCCAAGTGCACACTGCAGTGACAGGGCAATCAATAATCCATAATTCTATAACGCTGGATCCTGAGGGTTTGGATGGACACCTTTGAGCCTGGCCTTAGGGAGTGGAATTACTGTTCATCATGGATGCATCTTTCCAGTAGAGAGAGTCAATCTCTTCCTTCTTTGGCAACATCAAAGTTCTCTTGTAGCGTCGGTAGAGAGTCAAGTACTTAACCTCAAGCTGTCTTCACAGGACAGGTCTTGACCTTGTATCACAAGCATGATAACACTTAACAGTTCTGGTCTATTGTCTTGGCCAATAATCTCTTACCTCTGAGCCTCAGTTTATCACCTGTAAATGAAAAGTGTGGAAAGGAAAAAAAACGGATTGTGAATAATTTTCAAGATACTTTCCATGATTCTCTTTGCATTTTTGTGGTTTTCATCAGGTTTCTTTGTATTTGAACCTGTGTCCATTCGGCAAATTACATGAATATCTGAGGTGTGCCTACAGTGTCCTTGGTACTAGGGATAAGGCTGTAAAGAATGATGCAGTCCTCATCCCTTATAGGAGCCTATTGCCTGTAAGGAATTATAAGTTAGAAGGTATCACATTGTAATATGGTAAGAAAGCACAGAGTAAAAGGGTAACCTAATCTATTGAAGTTCGGCTTTAGTGGAAGTACCATCTTAGGCCAAAAACAAAAGAACAGCTGAGGAAGGGGAGAAGAAACTTGACAATGGAGGGGCCAGCATGTGTCTGAGGGGCCTAAAGCATCACTGGCTGATTGCTGATTGGGAATACCAGCTATTTAGGAGGCTGTTGCAGGTGAGAGTTGATGATATAAGCCATGGTAGTTTCAGTGATTGCAGATTAGGCGTGGGAATGAGGGAGAAAGGACAAAGCTCAGGCTTCCGTGTAAGGAAGTAAGGCCCAGGAGACATGGTTCTACTTTGAACAACCATGGAAAAGGTTTATTTTTGGTGGTGACCCCCTTTGCATATTGTCCTTGCAGCAGACATCCCCCCATCCCCGGGAAATATCCCTACCACCCACCCATTGATGGTACGCCATGCAGATCACAGTTCTCTGACGCTGGGCAGTGGCTCTTCCACAACTCGTCTCACACAGGGCATTGGTCGCAGTCAGCGGACCCTAAGACAGCTCACGGCCAATACAGGCCACACCATTCACGTTCACTACCCAGGGAATCGCCAACCTAACCCTCCTCTTATACTCCAGAGGTGAGTTACAAACAAAATCTGTTGAGACTCAGTAGAATTCATTTCTCTGTAGGTTATTTATACAGCTTTTTGAGGGGGTGATCCCAATATATGACATTTTCTTTTACATAAAAATCTTGAACAGCCCATTTTGGTGGTACACACCTATAATTCCAACACTCAGGAAAATGATGCAAGAGCACAAGGTTGTAGCTAGCTGGGCTGCTAAGTACATAGCAAGACCCTGATGCATAATAAGCATCTTATTTGCCAAGCACTAACAGTTGAATATAATCAAGACAGGGTCCTTGCCCTCTGGCTTAGAATTTAGTAGGAGAAAACATTTTAAAATGTGAAAGAATGGATATGAGCATTGTAAGGCCATATAGCAGAGGCATCATGCCCTGTGACAGTGCCTGGCATGTGGAAGGTTTCCAGTGGCACTTTTCTCTGTTCATGGGACTACAGAATAATACACAATTACAGTTGTCTGTCAAACTGGTGTGGTAATTAGAAAGGTAATTAAGATTTATATGCAGAATAAAGTCCATAATCCTGTTATACATTTAGTAGATGATCTAGATGGAAGATGTCATGGTAACAATGATACCTTACCCTCACTCTGCAGGTTACTTGGTCCCTCAGCTGCAGCTGACATCCTTCAACTGAGCAGCAGCCTTCCCCTACAAAGCCGTGGCCGGGCCCGCCTCTTAGTGGGCAATGATGACGTCCATATCATCGCCAGGTCTGATGATGAGCTGCTGGATGACTTTTTCCATGACCAGAGTACAGCTACTAGCCAAGCAGGCAAGTTCATAAAGTTAAGGGGAAGAATAGAATTTGTCAGATTCTTGTTCAGTGAGGAGGAAAGGCAGAATGGTGACTTAGCCAAAGGCAACAAATCTTTTTTGCCTCCAAGTACCCATTCAGTACCAAATTTTGTGATGGACCATGGGTCCTATTAGGAAAATACAGCAATTTTTTGATCAACTGTCACTTGACACATCCAAGAATTTCACTTTATTTTCTTCTCCCACAGGAACCTTGTCCAGCATTCCCACAGCTCTGACCCGCTGGACAGAAGAATGCAAAGTTCTAGATGCTGAGAGCATGCACGACTGTGTTTCAGGTGTGTGGCAGCATGGTTGTCAGAAGAGTAGTAAGCCTCCAGAGCTAATAAGAGTATGCAGAGAGTTTGTTTCTAGTTCTCAGGCTATAATCTCTGCCTCTGGAATTCCTTTTCAACCTTTCCAAAGAAGCCTCTGATCTTTCCCTCTTTGTTGTAGTGGTTAAAGTGCCCATTGTCAATCACCTGGAGTTCTTGAGGGATGAAGAGCTAGAAGAAAGAAGGGAAAAACGCAGGAAACAACTGGCTGAGGAAGAAACAAAGATAATGGACAAAGGCAAAGAAGATAAGGAGAACAGGGATCAGAGTGCACAGGTGATTGATTCCAAAGGGCTAGGAGGATTCATCATTACCTATGTTTGTCTTTGCTATGGTCCTGTCATACCCATAGTACTAAATCACTGAAGAGAACCCTAGGACATTCTCATTGAACCTGGAAAATTGCTTGTTCCAGATTGACTATTCATTCTTCTGGTTTTTAGGCAAACGAATTCAAACCAAGAGGTAAATCATTTCTCCATTATCTTACTGGGAAAAGCTGGCACCAGAACTAGAACAGTTCCTTACTCAACAGTCATACTTTATAGTGTCTGTCTGTAAGACACTGACTAAGACACTGACTCAGCCCATGCTCTTGGTTGTTGACTCCCATTTCTCAGTGGACTTCCAAAGTGGAGAACCTTACCTGAACTACTGTATTTTAGCACTCAATAAAACTTGGCTTAGGTGTCAGGTTAGAGAAAATTTTCATACCCTGAATTCTGTCACCACATAACTGAAAGTATATGTGTAAAAGCTAATAGAAGCACAAGGAAATTAGGAATGGAGGAAAGAAACTATATATGCAACTCAGCAGTTAAGATATTAGATAGTTGGGGCTGGAGAGATGGCTCAGTGGATAAGAACACTGAGTGTTCTTGCGGAAGACCCAGGTTCAAATCCCAGCATCCACATGGCAGCTAACAACTGTCCATAACCCCAGTTCCAGGGGATCCGACAGCCTCGTCTGTCCTCTGCAGGCATTGCACGACACGGGTGCACTTACCCTACATGCAGTACACGCATACACATAAAATAAAAGTAATAAATTTTTTTTCAAAAGATACTGGATAGATTAAAAATAAGGGCATTAAGGGGCTGGAGAGATAGTCAGCAGTTAAGAGTCCTTGCCCCCTTCCAGAGGACCTGAGTTTGATTACCAACAGCCATATTAGGCAGCTCAAAACCACCTGTAACTCCAGCTCGAGGGGAATCCAGTGCCCTCTTCCAGCCTCAATGGGCACCTACACTCACATGGTATACACAGACACATACCTGTACACATAAATGTACCACCCCCCCCCCGTCTTTTGAGACAAAGTCTCCCTGAAGTCCCAGCTGGCCTGGAACTCACAGAGATCCTCCTACCTCTGCCTCTGGAGTGCTGGGATTAAAGGCATACGCTACCACAGCTGGCATGTAAAAATCTTTTTAAAAGAAATAAAGGCATTTAAAAGGGAGCATTAAACACTGAGGATGCAGCTGTCTTCAGTGTTGCCTAATGAATAATATTGTATGTGACAAAAAAAGGCTAGAAGGGGTCTGTGGTGTTTCCTATCATGTGTGTAAAGCCCTGAGTTTGATCCAGAGTAACACCCAAAAGAAAAACTAGAGTAGAAAAAATAAGCCCAAGGAAAGGAAATAGATAAAACTAAGAATGGCTTGCTAGTCTCACAAATGTGCCTGTTCTTGATGTGGTTTTTATTTCATTTGTCTGTCCGTCCATCCATCACCCCACCCCAGCCCCGCACCTTCCTTGTATAGTCCATTCTTTTTTCTTTGTTGCTGGAAATCAAAACCAGGACTTCACATGAACTCTATCCACTGAGCTATATAATTCCCAAGTCCTCACCAAGCTGTATAGTATTATGTGTAGAGAAACTGAATGTATTTTTGCATTCTGAAATGGTCACATGGCCAGATCACTGGATGCTTAGATGATATAGGTGAGAGATGGTGACTCATAGTTGACACTCTTGTGTGCTTGTAAAAGTCCCCCATTGGTCTGTCTCTTTTCTTTGCAGTGTACTTTGTCTAAGACAAACGACTCCACTGAACAGAATGCCACAGGTAACTCTCCCTTCCTTTCCTCCTTTTTTGGTAACTGATCTATGAATTCTTTCCCCTGACCAAAATAGCTGGCCCACTTGGGCTGAAGATAGACACTGGTGCTCTGTGGGATGAGGTAGTAGATTGTATAGTTTTAGGGTCATACCCCATCTTGGAGATAACTATACAGTCTACTGTCTTTCCCACGGTGGTACACTTCCCCTCCAACTGACTATTCAGGTTCCTGTTGTGGTTATGCTGTGGTTCATTCTGACATGTACAGAGGTCGTATATCTTTGTTCCTTTCCCCTGAAACTAGGCACGTAAATCTTTATAGTGGTTGGCCCATTGGTATGACACTATGTGAGAACACCTGGTGATAATAGTTCTCAAATGCCAGTCTTCAGTAAATATTAACAGAGTCAGAGAGGGCTAATGTATATTTCATAGAGCTAGGCTTATTCCATTTAAAAGACTGAGTTTTTTATATTTAGAAATTTATGTTCTTCCTAGTTCATTGTTGAAAAAATGTTTATTATTTTCCTTTTAAAAAGCCAAAAGCAATGCCTACTTAGTCCTTTTTAATCTTATTCTAAATCCTTTTCTTTTGGTCCATGAAATCTAAAAAGTTTAAGAGCATTGTCTTGAACAATCTACTTTGGGGAATGTAGCTTTTTGAGCTAAATGGTATGAATGTATGCTTTCTGTTCCTTGTAATCTTCTTAACAATGGTCATTAGCCATTTTTGTGATCCTAATAACTGGTCCATGCGGTATCCTGTTTCCACCATCCCTATTTTCTTCAGAAATTCCTTCTAAAAGCATCCTTTGTCTTGACCTTCTGTCTCCTTTGGTAATTTTGTTGGGATATGGTTTTACCAAAGCCTATACAATATTTTTTTAAAGAAAGAGAGTAGGTGTCCTGGTTCTCTTTCCCTAACAAAAGTTGTCTGAAAGGGTCCACTCTGAGGTAAAATGGCCTTTTGCTTACTGACCTTATTAGAAGATCCTGCACATGCCGGGGTGAGGTAGTAAGTTGTATTGTTGTGGGGTAGGGATTTTAGGCCCCAATAAGAAGATAACTATACAACTTACTACTTTCCCTGGTGTGTTGCATATTCACATTAAGTCTTCAGAGGAAAGCTATAGGTGTTCCTTGGATAAATAAATAGGACTATAAGAAAGGGAAGGTAGGCTGGGCATGGTGACACATGCCTTTAATCCCAGCAGAATTCAAGGGCAGCCAGAACTATATAGTGAGACCCTGTCTGAAAAAAGAAGAGAAAGGGGAGGTGGAAGGGGACACATGATAGGGTGAGAATAGCTGGGCATATTAGCTCATCCCTTTACATAATCCCAAACCTTGAGACAGGCAGGGGGAGCAGTAGTTATAGGTCAACCTCAGCTTACGTAATGAATGAATTTAAGATCAGTCTAGGCTGCATGATGCATGAGACCCTGTCTCCCAAAAACAACAAAAAAGAATTATGAATGAAATTCTGACCATTTCTTGTTCTAAGTAGATAGGAAAATGCAAGGATACAGAAGCTTTTGGTTGATTTTTCTGTGTAGCTACAAAGACACATTAGCCTTACCCTATCAATATGCTATGAAATCAACCCCCTTCCGCCTGGGGCATAAAAAAGATTTTATTCTTAGGATCCACAGAATCAGATCTCTAGTTCCACTCTGTCTTTTAGCCTTGATCCCCAGAATACTATACCAGCCAAGAGCTATTTTGTTCTAAGAAATTCTCATGTCACTTGCTGAATGAGATAATTACCAAGCTACATGTGCTGATTGGGATGCTTTCCCTGGTGATTGGCTTATTTCCCCTTAACCCCCTAATATCATTCTTTCCGAGAAAGATGGAACTCCTATGCCTGACAGCTACCCAACAACCCCCTCTTCAACTGATGCAGCTACCTCTGAGCCCAAGGAGACATTTGGTACTCTGCAGCCCTCTCAGCAGCAGCCAGCACTCCCACCTCCACCAGCCTTAGGAGAGAGTCCTCAGGAACTACAGTCCCCTGCTGAAGAAGGGGGGAGTTCTACACAGCTGCTGATGCCTGTAGAGTCAGAGGAATTGGGTCCCACAAGGCCAAGTGGAGAAGCAGAAACAACTCAGATGGAGTTATCCCCAGCTCCCACCATAAGTGAGTAGAATTTCAATTTTGGAGGGAGCTATAGCTTTTTTGTGCTCTCACTTCAAAGAACCAGGAGCTGGAGTCTTCAGATAGGATCTAAGCCTCCTACACATTAGCTTTCTTAGGTAAAGCTCAGGTTTCTTCTGTTTCCTCAATTGATAATGTTCAGTGTAGTCTTTCAGTTGAGCTGAGGTTGCAATTCATACCTGTCTAGCATCAATAATTCTGCAGATGGGAAGCATGTATCTGATTCATAGTTCTCCTGACAGATACCATTTATCTCATGTACCTACTTCTCAACCTAATTTGAACTTGGGTCTCAAAATGGTTCAGCAGTTAAAAGCACTGGCTGCTCTTGCAGAGGACCCAGGTTTGGTTCCCAGCACCCACATGGTAGCTAACAACATCTATAACTCTAGCTCCAGGGGAATCTGACACTCTTCCATGGGCATTGAATGACACAGGTCCACACACAAAATAAAAATAATAAACTTAAAAAAATTATTTTAATTTCCAGCAAAATATTTTTAACAAGGTAAATTTTTGTTCCCTTTCTATACCATACTTCCAATGATAGATCCTCAGGAACAGTATTTCTCAGATATGCATAGAATAAAATGATCACAAAATTATAGAAAAGGCTTGAGCAGAGTCTTAAAAAGCCATTGAGCTGGAGGGTGAATGATCAGCAAATGGTGATGATAGAGAACTGCATAGTCTACACCACCTAATCCAAAGGAAGCAACCCCACCAAAGATCTTGCCTGTCATATTGCCCTGATTCTAAGCAGATCTAACCTCTCCCTCTGACTTCCTTCTAGCCTCTCTTTCCCCAGAGAGAGCTGAAGATTCTGATGCATTAACAGCTGTCAGCAGTCAGCTGGAAGGTTCTCCCATGGACACCAGTAGCCTGGCTTCCTGTACACTAGAGGAGGCTGTGGGTGATACTTCAGCAGCTGGCAATACTGAGCAGCCCACTGCAGGCAGCTCCACTCCTGGGGATGCTCCATCAGTTGTGGCAGAAGTGCAAGGCAGGCCTGATGGGTCAGGAGACTCTACCCAGCAACCTGAGGACAGGTAAGCACTATGCAGCCTACTGGCAAATAAGAATGTGTTGAAGGGTGTTTCAAGCTGAACTCACACTTGGTCACTAATGGGCATACTTGTTACACTGTGGTCAACCTGTTTTCTTTGAGAAACAGGTTTTAGGATGTTTTCTTTCTTAATGGGTAAACAATACAAAGAACAACCTGAGAATTATTTCTTTTCCTCAGCTCTCCCCCTGCATCTTCTGAGAGTTCTTCCACCAGAGATTCTGCTGTGGCCATTTCTGGAGCAGATTCCAGAGGAATCTTAGAAGAGCCGCTGCCTTCAACAAGCAGCGAAGAAGAAGATCCCCTTGCAGGTAAATTCCATGTTGCTCAGGCTATACTGAGATTGTTTCCAGTAACTCTGCATGGACATACCCACCAAACATTTCCATTCAGATGGCAGGGCATGTTGGAGAAAGACTGGAAGTAAAGGGATGCTGATGTTGTATAATGGAATGAGCCCAGACTCATTCTCCCACTATACCTCTTCCTACAGCTACAAACTAGGGCCATTCTTTAATCTTTGATCCTCATTGCTACTATGTCAATCAAATTTCCATTACTATATCAAAATGTCTAAAAGAAGAAAGGTTTCAGTATGTGATCAGTTGCCCCCCCCCCCCCCTAATGGAATGAGCCCAGACTCATTCTCCCACTATACCTCTTCCTACAGCTACAAACTAGGGCCATTCTTTAATCTTTGATCCTCATTGCTACTATGTCAATCAAATTTCCATTACTATATCAAAATGTCTAAAAGAAGAAAGGTTTCAGTATGTGATCAGTTGCCCCCCCCCCCCCTCTCTTTTTGGACCCCTTTCTAAAGA